TTCAAATACTCTTCCCCCTATCACACACACACACACACACACACACACACACACACACACACACACACACACATAATCGTTTAAAATATGTGATATTCATGGAATATAATTGTACTGAATATCATAGACAGAGAATTTGTAAATTGTTCTATATACTTATGTATTGCCCAGCACAGGAATTGAACTCACAGCCACCAGCTAAAAGAAACTAATGCTTTGTTGTTGTTGGATTGACCTGTCTCACCTGTTTTTTTGTAATAGGTTCTGCCATCAATCTCAATATAAGTATTTCTTCCAGAGGGTGTACGTTCATTTTCCTGGTGAATCCCTAACTACTTCAACAGTGTCGACATAAAAACAGCAATGACAGTTTCACATCTTAAGTGATTATGCTGGAAATGCATATGTTGTGATTATCATCACCATCACACACATACATACATACAGATCACACGACAAGCATTCATTGGCTAATCTCCTTAAAACTAGCTTGCTGATTGGTCAATTCCGACCAATCAAATCGCCTGCATGTGAGAAATGATATTTTCCCACGCACAAGCTTTGGAGTCTGTCAAATGATACACCACTTTATATAAACAAAACATGAGTAAGCCTTCTCTTTCTGTTTTCTCTTTCGTCTCCTTCCTTGCTGCCAAGATGTAATCTTCAAGAACTCTTGTCTTGACCTTGCAGTCAGACATTAAAGAACATTACCAACATTCACGCAAGTATGAACTCTTAACTCTTCTGAACTCTACCAACTTTTCTAATTCACATTTCCTAACATGCAACAGGAACTTTATTCTTCTAAAACTATAGTTTAATAATTAATTCAACGTCATGAGCTCTGGTGCAAATATTTCCCAAATCTAAGAGACATAACTCTATCAAACCTTTAGCTTATATGCATGTACATCAAAACAAATAAATTCAAATGTTATGTTTTGAACCATTACGTTCTGTCTTGTATTTTTGTTATGTGCTATTTTACGTCAAATATAAATTGCATGTGACTGCCACATTTGATGGTGACCTCCAGCGTCTTTGCTTGTCCTTTTCCGCATCATTCCTAATCAAAGTTAAATAAATGTCGTGGGGTCTGCTACATCAGATTGACAATCCTTCACATTTTTATTGCTGACCCATCATTTGTCGTGGACCTCGCTACACATATTTACTTTAATAAGATTTCTTGTATATTAAGGCCTGTAGACAAAAATAAATAAATATGCAGTTTAATAAATACAGTAGCGTCCAAAACTAAGGGACAAAATTTTAAAACCTAATATTTGTTAGAAATAACAACTGTGAAAAGCTGAAATTTTGACAACAATTTGAATCATTTGCAAAGGATAGAAAAAGAATTACATTGCAAATGATTCAAATTTTAGTATGTTATTATGGATGATAACGACTACGAGTTGTCAAAATTTCAGCTTTTCACAGTTGTTATTTCTAACAAATATTAGGTTTTAAAATTTTGTCCCTTAGTTTTGGACGCTACTGTAAATGGAGCATTCTACACAAATATGGCTATCCACTAAAAGTAATGTTTAAGTAACAAATTAATTTCACCACACCAAGCAAGGTGGTAATGCCACTATCATGCAGGAGGTTACAGGAAGAGAAAAAAAGAGAAAAGACTGAGAATAGGGAAAATTGAGGAAAGGGTAAAGAATGAACAGGGTTCAAGAAGACAGAAGATGGTGATTGACATGGCATTTAATTTTATGAGTGTTGTAGTTATCATTTTTATATGTCAAATGGTTTCATTAAAAAAAGTGTGTTGAATAATATTTGTTTTTTTTAAGTGAGATTTTTAAGAGGACTTTATAAATCCTCACGGGAATATTTTCAAAGAATCTGACAGATTTTTATTTTATTTTCTAGCTGAATGGCACTGCTGTTAAAATATTTGAAGGTCACACTAGGTAAGTAAAATACATCAGTATAACAGTTAAAAAGGCTTCATTCAACTGTAAAGAGAAGTTAACGCTCTTTCAATTTATAAGAACTAAATGTAAATATTTTGTAAGGAGGTAGGGGTTAGAAGCACAAAAGACTTATGGACTATTTTTTTATATTAATGTTCACCCAATATAAGCCCTAAGAGCCACTTAAGGTAGATGAGTACTGTGTAATATTGTGTGAGCATAAGAAAAGACAAGAAGTGAAGTTCATGGGTTTATGCAGGAAGGATAACAGTTAACCCTAGATTTGAAGAGGTCAAAATTTTAGTGATCATGAAAATATCCCTGTTTTTTATTTTCTTTTTAAATCAAGTTCACCCCAAGCAAGGCATTAAAGCCACTAAGATACAAGGGAGCTACTGGGTGCAGAAGTATTAGAAAACAGAAACATTACTACGGAACAAGAACAAAAGAAGAAAAAAAGCCCCAAAAATGTAAATAACTTAAAAAAAAAAAAAAATAAAATTTGCATGTTGGCCTAAAACTAAATGAATGTGAGGAGCAGGCACGTGCTTTGATTGGTCTTAGCAATGCACCTGTGTATTTGAAAAAGTACCATTTAACTCTTTGTAAAAATTAGGTAAAAGTATATATATTGGTCAACTGATCTGTATTTATCTGCAAGGATGTTGTCATGTAACCTAAGCCAAATGTCACTGACTCGTTTTTTCCTTTTATAGGTTCTAAGACTCTTAATTGGTTTGTCTCTTTACTTTTTTTTCTTTTTCTTCTTGACCAAGACTGATTCACCTTTGTCCCATAAACCTCTAAAAAGAGGTAACTGCATCCACCAGTCTGGTGCTTGTCTGGTTATATTCCTCCATAATCTCAAGTATAATACTTGTCCACACATGCATTTCCCTCAGAGTAAGTTCAGTGAAATAGTCATATGACAAGCGTACTGCTTCTCATGTCCTGAATCGTCCTCTGGGTGCAATGCATGTTTTTCAAATCATTCTATGAATGTGACCCGCTTTCTTTTTTTTCTTAATTCTCATTAGCTAAGACTACCGTATTTGCTGGCCTATTGGGTGTTTTTTTTTTTTTTTTTTTTTTTTAAGCGTTTCACTCCAAGCAAAGTGGGAAGCCACTAGGATGCAAGGGGTTACAGAAAATTTAGAGCAAGATCAGATAGGAGTGATAGAAGAAAGGATGAGGGTAGTAGATAGATTAAGGCAATTGGAGATGTCGATTGACATTACACTTGAATAGCTGGAGATTATAGCTCACAGGGAAACAGAAGGGAAGGGAGTTCCACAGGCGAGAGGTGCAAGACATGAAGCTATTAGAGTAGAAGAGACGGCTACATTTAGGAGTTTCGACAGTGAAGGGGTGAGAGCGGGATGCCAGCTTCAGAGAGGGCGCTGGAACTCATGAAGTCTGGGAACCAGCGAATGCAGCTCCTCGGAGCAATTTCCATGAAAGTATTTGTAGAACAGACAGAGGGAGGTGACGGCGTGTCTGTGAGAAAGTGACTGTAGACGAGACGCCAGGGCAGGGCCAACCATATTGCATATCCGCCTCTGGAGCCTATCAAGAACCCCAAGGCAAACAGAAGCGGCGCCAGACCATATATGGCAGCAATAGTCCATGCAAGGGCGAATTATGGATTTGTATATCTGGAGGATCGACTCAGGGGAGAAAAACTTCCTAGCGCGGCTCAGGGAGCTAACTTTCCTCGCAGTGGACGAGGCAATTGACTTGTGTGGATTTAAAAATAAAAAATGCATCAAAAATTACCCTGCGTCCCATGCAATAGTATCATGTGAGACAGACAAGAAGACTACAAAAAAGTGTTTTCACCAGAAATCAGTGTCACACATAGAGCTTAGCTCTGAATCTAGAACTCCTAGAAGTCAACAAACATGATATCAATAATAAAAATATCCATGAAAAATTCACCCAGGAAAAAGAAATTTATGGAATTGCACAATATTTTTCTGCTTGTTTTATAGAAATACTAGATTTTACAGATTTTTGACTGGTATATTGCTGCTTGCTTTGTGTGTTTTTGTTGATATACAGATATTCGAATTTGCTTTTCTGCATGTATGGTTGGGGACTTTACCAACAAGTACCGTATTTCTGGATTTTTTTGGCTTCTTACCATATATACCATTGTTCACTAAACCCAGTAGATTTCTTTGTAGCTATTATGAATTTACTGTATATGCAAATGTTGCTCACTGATAAATAATTAAAACAATTTTTTAAAAAATACATGATGAAATGTAATTAAATTCTTCTTTTCCAAAAAATGTCCTCGTAATTAAACATTACCTCACTTCTATTTAAAAAATAATACCAGTAGTATAATTTGTGTTAATACTGTGTTTCTTTATGGTTAGTGAGAAGGTCACATAAAGTTAAGGTTATAATTTTGATTTTTTTTTTTTTTTTTTTTCTGATGTGTGCATTTTTTGTTCTTGATATACCCTGCCAAATGCATGGATGTGTTCTATAGGCTGGCAAATAGAGTAATTCATTTTAGTTCCATAAGCCTCTTAAAAAGTTAAATTCAGGTGACTGAGCTCTGCCTTGTTACATTTATATGAAATATAGAAATAACTGCAATGATATGACAAAGTCAATCATTTAGAATAGAAACAAGCACAATCACTTACATCTTATTTACATTCAGACTAATGTCCTCGTTTTTGTTGTTATAATCACAACATTTTGGCTGGAAATAGGACAATAACAGTGTAGCTTCAGTAAAGACACTCAAACAAGAAATGCAATATTTATGCTCAAAATGGTATCAGAAAGAGCAACACAAATGCAGACAGAATATGTCCCTGTATTTTTGCAGGTTATTTAGAGCCAGAAAATATTTTTAGATTAAAAGCATTTTTAGTGATAATAATGTTTTACTGATACAAGCTCTATTAATTAACCCATAGTTGGGGAACAGAAGAGATGGATTCATACCTTTCTAAAGAGTATTTGTGTATAAGTGATTATAAAGAACTTGACTGGAAATGGAATTCAGTTCTCCGATTTCCAATTGTGAGCCGTTATCCATACACCACTCAGGCATCCAAGCTTACAGCACCTGATATTCCTATGCAGTCACCCATCTAGGTATTGACCAGGATCAATGTTGCTTAACTCCAGTGATTGCATGAGTACTGGTGTTACAATTTCATATGGTAATAAGCCTTAAGATTATACAAAAGTATTTGATAAAAGTGTGAGGTAACTTTGACATAGTTGGGAAAAATATTAGAATAATCATTGCACCTATTGTTGGCGGTAATCCGCCTGCATACAGATTGAAAAGGAATTCATTAAGTCTCGGGATTCTTGATAAGATCCAGAGGCGGGTATGCAATATAATTGGCCCTGTTCTGGCTATCTCATCTACAGTTGCTCTCTCACAGATGAGCCGTCGCCTCTCTCTGTCTTTTTTACAAATACTTTCATGGTAATTGCTTCAAGGAGCTGCATTCGCTGGTTCTCAGACTTCATGAATTCAAGCGCCCTACGAGGCTGGCATCCCCTTTCACTGTCAAAACTACTAAATATAGCCGTCTCTTCTACTCCAATAGCTTCATGTCTCGCACCTCTCGCCTGTGGAACTCCCTTCCCTATTCCAGTTTCCCTGAGAGCTATAATCTCCAACTATTCAAATGTAATGTCAATCAACATCTCCAGTTGCCTTGATCTATCCACTATCCTTCTCCTCATCTTTTCCTCTATCACTCCTATCTGATCTTGCTCCAAATCTTCTGTAACCCCTTGCATCCTAGTGGCTTCCCACCTTGCTTGGGGTGAAACCCTTAAAAAAAAAAATACAAATATAGAAAGGTTTGTAGGACAAAGATGTGTCTTCTCAGTAAACTTATTCAACCTATACAGTGAGGTGATTCTAAGAGAATTAAAAGTCCTACTCAGATTCATTATTGGCAGCACAATCTTAACAACATCGATATGATACGATATGCAAGTGAGGCAGTGTTGATAACAGACATAGGAAGGAAACTAAAAGAACTCCTACAGAAGGTAGTCAAAGAACATGAGAAAAAAGGACTGAACATTAATTGCAATAAGATAGAATGCATGGTTGTTAACAAAAGGAACAGCCAAACATGCAAATTGGAGATGCCAAAATCAAACAACTATTTACATTGCTCGTCCTCATCTTTGTTGCCATATTTATCACAACATTTTAGCCATTGTATGCTCCAGCCTTCTTCAGGTGGTTGGAATGTCGAACTGAACCCTTTATTTCGCTCACTGGGGTAGACTGATAGTTCCACATATCTAATGGATGTCAGTTATCAGTTATCTCCTGTTAATTTCCCTCTCCAAGTTCTCCACTGCCTTAACCAGGTATTGAACTCACACTCTTTGGGTCATGTCACTGGATCTAACTAATGCCTTTATCCATCTGCCATGTGTCCTTGAGGACATCTGTGTATGAATTTCTGGGTATTATAAACCTAATGTCTTCAGCAACCATTTTTTTACCAGTGCTCATATTGCAATTTTTACTGTTATTATTGCAATGTTTTTTTTACCAAAGCTCATATTGCAATTTTCATTGTTATTTTCACTTTCCTCTGGCACTCTTTATTGCTGGTTCCATATTGTATCCATTTCTATGCTTGGTTGGCTCAGGAGTTTTTGTGGCCTAGCATATATGCTGATTCCGTAAGTTTACAAATTTTCCAATGATGTTCTTTGTCTATGATTTCAACCTGATCTCACAGAGGGAAGTGATTTCCCTTTTCTCTCCATATGTGTTCAGCCACGCCTAGTTTTTCCACTTCCCCTCATATTACAGCTTTTTGGTGTTCTTGAAGCCTTACCTTAAGGGGGCAGCCTGTCTCTCTATTAATCATCTGAGAGAATTCTTTCTGCCTTCCATCAACATGGTTGATGCTAACCTTCAGGAGAGCAATTCATTCACAGACTAACGTTTTCAGCTCACATTAAGTGGAAAGATTAGAATCAATCTTACATATTTATAAGTCTATCATTCGTCTTTGCTTTAAACATTGCTGCCACATCTGGTCTGATGCTTCTGCTATATATTTAGAGATTCTTGATAAAATCCAAAGAAGAATCTGTAATGTTATTAGTCTTGATCTGGCATCTCAGCTTCAGTCACTTTCCCACCACCGTAATGTAGCTTCCTTGTATCTTTTCTATAAATAATTTCATTGTAATTGTTTTGATGAACTTTCCACTATGGCACTTAGACTTTGTGAATTTAAGCACAGTACTAGATTAGGTGGCAAGGTATCATCATTTGCCAGTTGAATTGACTAGACATAACTGTAAGTTCTATGCTGACAGTTTCTTTTCTCGCTTCTGGTTCCATGCTTCCCAGTCAACTTTGACCTTCAAAAATTAAAATCCAATGTCAATTGTTATCTTATCTCTTCTTAATTTTTGTTCTTTTATTGTCCTCTTGCCTTAATAGTAGTTTTTCTCATATTCTCTAATATTCAGTAACCTCCTTGTGTCCTAGTGGCTTTATTGCCTTGCTTGAGGTGAAATGATTAAAAAAGTAAAATTACTCAAATTAGTATCTTCATCTTTGTTTATATTTCACTTTTGCTTAGTATATTCCTTCCAACTTCTTCTGGTGTAAGTTATGTTTAGTAAACAAGAATTTTTAATTATTTTTTTGATATTTCTAAGTCTTCATTCATCTGCAAAACAAAAATTTATTTGGTACTGTAACAAAAAATGCAGTATCAAATAATTTATTTTTTTCACTTGGATAAATGTTAAGGGGAATTTGAATGATTGAAGACTACTGGATGTGACCTGCTTTGATCAAAATGATGTAAATAGCAAAAATAAATATAAGAATTTGTATAAGTATGCATGTATCCATGTAGTAATGCTTACGTATAGACAGGCATGCAAGTGTTATCATGGATAGATGCTTGGAATTAAAATTTGGAGGTCAAAGTTCAAATTTCAGTCAAGTTCATTACATTTATTATGTGCTTGGGAAAGGTATGAATCCATTTCTTCCAATCCCAGGTATGGATTAAATAGTAGAACTTGTATCTGTAAAAAATCATTGTTACTTTAAAGAAATCATTAATGCAATATTCACTCACAAAAAATATTATTTTTACATAAATGTGGTGAACTGTCCCGTAGAAGCAAGTGAGCTAGAGTGGCGCATAGGAAAATAAGGGACTTACCTCAACATGCGGCACATGACATCGGTAAGTTTGCTCTTTGGAAATGGCACTACTCTCCCGTCTAGTGATTCCAGCAGTATGTGCGGTAACGAGGGTTTTTGTACAGTTTGGCATGTTTCGACCAATAGCAAGTCGTGTGCTGATTGGTTGAACTAGAGGAAGCTATTTACCTGGGTCACTGAGAATAAAAGCAAAGAATGCTGATTGGTTGGTCAACTGCAGTGTTGGCCTGATAAAAAAGGGCTGAAGCAATGAGAAGGGGAGACAGATTTTACATTTTGAAGTGTTCAGAAAGCAAGAACTGCGGATTAAACTAGCGGTATCTTGAATTGTATGAACAACATCTTAGTAATAGACTCATTTAAACAACAATAACCCACATAAAAAAAATCAGATCAATCAAAAACTGAGTTAAGAAAATTCAGTTTTTCTTAATTTTCAATGCATTTCCATTGTAAAATGGCTTGTATTACTTTAATAAACACATTTAGAATGCATATCTATTTTAAAACACTGTCATATAATAATTTATATATATATATATATATATGCGGCCTCAGTGGCGTAGCTAGAGTAAACATCACCTGGGACAGTCCGCTCAAATGTCACCCCAATGACCCCGATTCACCCTATGCTGAATGGTTAGCTGTAGCTAAATTTTCATACATGCTCTACCTCTACTTTAGTCTACTGACCGGTACGTTACTGTTTACATGTATGATCCAAGACAAACTCCAATACCACAAAATAATCAGTTCAAATCAAAAGATTTTTAAAATGCAACTGTTCACTTTCAGAACAACTAAATACAAAAAACGGCAATGCACAAAAGAATGACATTCGATACTATGGTCTTAGAATGAATGTTTTCTTGTTTTCATTGTGCCAAACTGGTCAATGACATCGTTAAAATCTGTTTGTCTTGTAAGCTCATTTTCAATGGACAGCACAGCCAGATCTGACAGTCTCGACTGGCTCATGGTTGACGTAATTTTCTGTTGCTAATTTTCCGGTGCATCATTTTCTGGGTACCATTTAATTATCAATGATGTTTGAAAGTATTTTTCTTGACAAAAATTTGCTATTTAATTTTTAAGCATTTTTTGGAACATTGTAAATCAACTGCATTCTTTTAAAGGTTACCTAGAGAATTTATGCAAAGTTTATTTTTTTGTTTTTCTTTATACAAATAAAATAAATTTACATCATATTTTGATGTTATTATGATTTTATTTTTAGTGATAATTTTTAAACAATAAATATTTATCATTAGTACCAATAATGGAAAATTAAGTTAAAAATTTTAAAAAATCGTTTTTGAATCGGAAAATAAGCACAAATTTTTCCGATACCGTTTCTGATATCACAAAAAGTTCCGATTTTTCCAATTCTCAATTCTGAATAACCGTCCCAACACTAGTAAATATATTCAAAAGTATATCGCTCACTCAATGGAAAATTGTATCTCAGCGAATTGATACACAGGCAAGACTGTGCTGGCAGCCGGGGCGGTCCGCCCCCCCTCTCTCCCCCTCTTAGCTACGCCACTGGGCAGCCTGACAATTTCGTCCGGCATGAAACAGCCTGTTGCCTCTGAGTGTTGACTTCAGTGTTTATTTTTATATTTACATACGCTCTATCTCTGATATTGAGCACTTTATCCCATGAATATAGCATACCTTAAAACTATATTTCTTCACATATATATATATATATATAATAGCTGTATTCTGTCTCTTATACTTGCTTCAATTAATGGTCATGGACAATTCATTTTCTCATCATTTGCAATGCATTTCTATAGTAAATCCCAGCCATAAAAAATATATTGAATCAAACTAAATGCACATTCAATTAAAAATAGGAAACTTTCTCTTTTTTCTTTTTTTTACATTAACTTTAAAGAAAATGTACCATTTTGTCTGTTATGTTAAATTTCTTTTAATTGATTTTTATTTTTTAAGTTATTTGCCATTCCAGTCAATTAACTATTGTAAATGTGTCAACTATTACTGATATATCTAATTTGGACCACAAAATTCACAATCTGCTAACAGTTTTTTGTTTTCACAGATACTTTGTGTCATTAATGAATGGTATTTTCTTTTAATAGGTATGTTACTTGTTGTGCATTCTCCCATGATGCTGTCTTCCTAGCCTCAGGTTCAAATGATAAAACAGTAAAAATATGGCAAATTGAAAATGACAGTCAATCAGAAGGTAAGCTTATTTTGAATTATTAAAAAAAAATGATTTCTTTAATTCTGTGAATTATTGAGATTTCCAATAATGTTTTCCTTTCATTGATATATGCACACCTTCAAAAGACAGCAGACCTCTACAGACAGCTCAGTCATTGGCATAGTTGACGAAAACTCCCAAGCACAGTCTATAACCTTAGAACCTTACTCCTGTTATCTTACTTCATCAGGCCATGAAATGAGGTCACCTAGTTTAAATGATGGAGGACAGGTAATATGAACACTGCAATTGAACTCCCCAAAATATAGATATTTTATTTTCATAGAACACACCATGAACTTATTCAATCATAAACAGAAGAATTAAGATTCATCAGAAAATTCAAATAAAATAACTGTGAAATTTTCATGGTAAGCATAAATACTTTATAGGCCAAATCTTTAATACACATATTCCGCTATGTGATATAGGAGGAGTTATTTGAAAAAAAAAAAAAACGCTTGCTTTTTATAGAATAAAATATGTATATTCAAGTAAGAAATAACTTGATTTTAATTTTGAGAAAGATGTCCTGTATTTCTGATTTGTCAACTTCATCATCCCAGTTTTCATTTATTTTTTTTACCTTCATTATTCTTCCAATTATGTATTCATTATATGTTTTAGACATATTATCAAATTTCTTTAATAATGTTCACCTATACAAGGTCCAAGAGCCTCTCAAGGTAGAGGGTTAGTATTGTAACCTAGAAAAGGTTACTGAATGAGGAATAACCAAAATGGAGGTTGGAAATGAAATGGTAATCTTTATAACATCAACAAAATACAATACTCGTCAGCAGCGTGAAGTAGGTAAACCACTGCTAGTGGTGGACTAGTTAGACAGCATATTAGCCCCCCCCCCCAATAACAATAGTATCCAATGTATTTATGAGGACTGGTACATAGCTATTAGTGTTTGGTCTATAACAGTGTGGTATATAAGAGTTATAGAATGAGGTTGTTGTATGAACATAAAACGAAGAGTAAGTTTGATCAGTTCAATAAGATTAAATTGGCAGCTGATCTCAAAAGTGACTTAAAATCTGCTATTAACTAGGGCAAGGAATGACTTGTTAATTTTTATGTCTCCAAAACAAAACTGCTTTCTATTAATCATCTGAGAGAACCCTTTACACCTTCCGTCAGCATGGCTGATGCTAACCTCTAGGAGAGTGACTCATTGTACCTCCTCGGACTAATGTTTTCATCTGACAAGAAGTTGAAAGAGTATATTGAATCAATTGCTAAGTCTACAGTTAAGAAAGTTGGTTCACTATGTTGTGCTAGACAATTTTTCTTGCCAGAATCTATCTTACATATCTATAAGTCTACCATTCATCCATGCTTCAAATATTGCTGCCACATATGGTCTGGTGCTCTTGCTATATATTTAGAAATTCTTGATAAAATCCAAAGATTCTGTAATGTTATTGGTCCTGACCTGGCATCCCAGTTTAAGTCAGTTTCTTACCACCATAACGTAGCTTGTCTGTGCCTTTTCTATAAATACTTTCATGGTAATTGTTCTGATGAACATTGCTATATGGTGCTTAAACTTTATGAATTAAAGCACAGTACTACATTGGCAACAAGGTGTCATCATTTTACAGTCGAATTGGCTATATGTTACCATAAGGTCTATGATAACAGTTTCTTTTTCCACACTTCTTGCCTGTGGAATTATCTTTTGACTTCTTTTCTCTGGGGAAAATTGTGAAAATGGCCTACCTCGGAAACACCTGCGAATCTGTGCAATGTGCAAACTCCAGTTTGCTCAACGGTAAAAGGAACCAAAATCGCAGCGCCCATGTTTTATGCCAGGCGGTCTCTGACAGTTAACGCGAAATCTTGTTGTCTCATCATTCGCATGCAAATCGTGGTCGGTCCTCGGCTGTATAAAGCAGGCATGTTTTTGTTTCTGATCAGTGGGCTTTTTGCTCGTGAGAAGGTTGGACGTGTGACACTGGTTTTTGTCGGTTACCCTCCTCGCGGTTTTTTGTTCCTATCTGCTATTATCAGTTGAATTGTTGTGTTACCACCACATTTTCAGTCAAGTTTGATCTTCAAAAATTTAAATGAAATGTCAATTGTTATCTTCTGTCTTGTTGATTTTTCTTCTTTTATTGTACACAATAATGTTTTTCTTTTTATAATTCTCTCACACTCACTTCTTGTGTCTTAGTTGGGGAGAAATGATTAAAAAAAAAAAGAGTGCAAAAAGCAGATCATGAGGACATTTTTGGAAATAATAGTTGATCCTAGATTTAGAGGCTAAGATTTTTGAATCAGGAAAGTATCCCCTCAGGAGTCGGTTCTACAAAGTAGTAGTTCTTGGAAGGAAGCTATCTGAATGGAACTTCTTAACAATGGAATATGAAGGAAATGGTGGTGGTTCATCTCAGTGTATGGGGCATGGTGGGTCTTAGCTGTGAAGGTCTGAACTGGTGGAACTAAGGAATGTAGCTTGTCAGAGCATTCTTTATATTTCCTTCCAAATCAGAGATTCTCCCAGTGGAATTGGCGGCCATGTGTCTGTAATCAAGGTAAACTTTTTCCTTTTATACTTTGCACAGAATTATTAGAAAAAAGAAATAAGAATTTTGTATTGATTATTATCAAGCATAATTTTATCTTTTTCAAAATTTTGTTTTCAGAGGCTGGTGTTTCTTCCACAAGTGAGTCGTTCAACCAATGTCCAGTTACTTCCACACCTTCCTCTACCTCTTCCGCTCCTATGCAAAGTATATCTTCCTCTATGCCTCATTGGCAGAAACCCATCAACAGATGGACAGTTGATGAAGTGTGCTGCTGGCTTGGACATATTGGATACAGCAATTATGAAGATAATTTCCGACAGAATGTTATTGATGGTTCTGAACTTCTTTCACTAACCCAAGAGTCACTGGAAAAGTCATTGAGAATCAGTATGTAGAAAATATTTCTTTTTCCGTCATCAAATGCCAAATTCAAGTCAAGCTGTTGGTCACCTTACGTATTTTGATAACTTTTATATTTAATTATACTGCTTCCTGTTAAAGAATAAATCTATATTATTCTCTTTGATTATCATACACTGTGTCTGAACCTTTGGATTCACAGAAGTCTCTAAGTGAATTGCTCAATGTCTTTAGGCCAATGGTTTTACAAAATCAGTTTGTTTTGTTTAGTAGTAATTGTCATTAACTTTACACAGTGTAGTTGAAGGACTCTGCTCTGGAATGACTTGAAATAATGCTGGGGGAAAAATACTGGACATGTAAAGAACTAAGACCTTGAGAGAGCTATTGATAGTGACCGACGGTAACTTAAATCTGCACATGGGACTAAACTACACGTAGTATATCCAGAGTGGGGATAACTGTATCACTGGGCAGAAGGGTTAAAGACTAAAGCCAATGGCCAAGGTTCCCCAATGGAATCAGCAGTGATTTGTCTGTGACCAAAGTAAACCTTCAAGTTGAAAGACTGGTCTGAATGAGGGAGTGGTAGGCTCCATCAGGTCTGTTTGCCAAAGACGTACGATGCATGAATAAACTGACTTTCATATCAGATTGGGTGTCACCAAAGACTGTTACTGGAAGACTTTTTCACAGGGACACAGACATTGCGACCAAGTTGAGGAAGCTGGTCAGGGGCTCAGCAGTACAGCAACTCATCAGACTGATGTTGATACAGTTGAACAACTTTTTAATGAGCTTGCCTAAACTAGCTTGAAATTATCTCATTAAAAAATACTGAGCATACAGAGAAAGTTGAAGACATTAATCTGACTTTAAAATAATATAAATGATAATTTTGTGTGGTGTGGTAATTTTCTGCACCTATAGAAGTATCCAGTATGGGGTGATTGGCAATTTTTGGTGATGTAGAAAGCATGAATATTCAATGGTGAATATACTGTTACTTGTTTAATTCATCATCAGGCAGAATTCAACATAAACAAGAAAATACATAACATGGGTTTTGATATTGTCTAAGAACAACTATTTAAATAATACAGTTATTTTTTTCTTTTGTTTTTTTTTTTTTTTTTAGTTCAAGGTTAAATTAATATTCACCATATTTCAAGCAAAATATAAAGGATAAGTTTTTGATGCTATGTACAATCCTTAAATTTTTTTTTCTTTTTACACAGTGGCCTATGGCATCCGAAACAAGATTATCCGAGCCAGGGATTTCCTTATGGAAGATGCAACCCCAGGAATTTCTTCACAGGCTGATTTTGATTGTATGTACTTTGTTTGCTTGATTCATCCTGTATTTTCTTTAAAGAACCTTCCTGTTTTGGTAAACAAGCTATGTTAAGAATAAGTTTAGGGTTAGGTTTCATGAATCAAATACTTCAAAACATTGATCCAGTCTAATGATTAGATATGTAATGGCATAGAAAATACTAAAAGCATGGAGAGAAATGCATTGCAAATTATTTGTTATGGACATGCATTAGAATTATTGATTGATTTATTTGTTTTTTATGGCTTATCACTCTTTTGCAGATTATTTAAAGCCCAAAACTGTTTTTAGATTGTAAGCATTTTTTGGGAGATAATAATGATTTACTGATACAAGTTCTACTACTTAACCTATAACTGGGGAGAGAAGAGGTGGATTCATCTTTCCCAAGATTATTTGTGTGTAAGTGAATATAATGAAGCCAACTGGAATTGGAACTCAACTCCCCAATTTCTGATTTCATGCCATTATTCATTACACCACCCACACATTCAAGCTTACAGCACCTGCCATTCCCAAGTAGTAATTCATCTAGGCACTGACCAGGCTTGACATTGCTTAATTTCAGTGATTGTATGAGAATTGGTTTTGCAACATGATATGGCTGTAAGCCATATTATAGTTACAAAACACATTAAAACATTCATTCACACTGATTATTATATATGTAATGACATACCAAATACTAAAAACATGGAGAGAAATTATTTAACTAGAGAAATGCATTGCAATTATTTATTAAACAAACACACAAAAACTTTGAATCACTCTAATGATTACATATTGAGTAACACAACCAATCCTTGAAGCATATATTGGATGTAAGCAGATGCCAAAATTTTCTATCATATTTTGTGAGAGAATATACAAGGAGAAGCTGAAAAGTTCTTGGTTTTGATCCACTAATCAAAATCTGACTAAATAACCAAACATAATTGATTGGGGGGGGCTTAGTCGAGCTGAGAACTTTTCAGTACCCATTTGGGTATAATAAAAACGTCTCCAAGACCTTGTGGTTGATGAATTATTCTCCATCCTCCAGACTCTATCCCACTGTAGAAAAATCACGTGGTCGAGATAAACACTCAGTTGTGGAGCAAGCTAAGTGAATAAATTATTTATTGTACTATATACAAATGTGGCACAAGGCGAAAAAGGGGTTAGTAAAGGACGGTCATCAATTGTCTTAGTTTTAAAACTTAGCTAGCCACAACCACTGACCCTATCATACAGAACAATATTCCTTTCACCAAAACAACACGTTTATCCATACCTTTCATACTACATCCACCAAAATACCTCTTTGTCTCAATGAAAAACCTAAATAAACCCCTTATGTACAAAAATTGTCTGTGGGGGAGGGCATAAAAACAACAATCTTTTTAAAAAGATCCCCAATGAGTATATACAAAATGACAATAATATATTTACAAGAAACTAAACAAAAAAGTGTTAGTACCCACACACACACACACACACACACAAACCTTAAATGTGGCAGAAATATTAGTTAACCGGACGAAATCGACGCGGGACTATGAAAATAAAGGAAACATTCATTCCTCCCAAGCATTCACACAGGCACACACATTCATACACACAACAACAAATACGAAAAACACACACGCGAAATGAAAGGCGCCCCGCATCTACCAGAGAACTGACATCACTGACCACCTAAAGAGAAGTGGGAGAGTTAAACTAAAGAAAAATAGGGACAGAAATAAAAGGGGCCAATGAGCATACATACCCTAGCTAAGTGAACCGGAAACAGGAAACTAAAGACTCACCGTATGATGTCGGAATCATATTCACTAAAGATAACTGGGTCCATTTGAACAATTTTTTTTTTTTTTTTTTTACATACCAACGTGCAGTGCTTTATGACCAATCGCTATCTTATCAACATTTGCTTTTTATTTTACAAATTAAAAACTAAGCACAATTGGCTATTAATTAAATTTTTTCATGGATTTTGACGTCAATCTAAGGTTTCTTTGTTTTTTCCACCAAATCTGTGAACTTGTTTTGCACTTTTTGCTCATGTTAAATCTCGAAAAACACTATATAAAAAATTCACGATGTTGCCGGGTCCTCCAATCAGTATGCAGTGGACGCAGGGCCGGGACAAGGGTCTGGTGGGTCCCCATGATACGAGCGCCGCCCCGAATATATAATACACCCTAACTCTATTACATTTGAATTTTCATAAATTAGTCTTTATAAAATTCAAATTTTATTTAATGATAACCTATAATGTTGAATATGTTTAAAATTCTTCAACAATAAAATCAATGTTGGTGATAAAGTTTACGAAAAAAAAACATTGTCAAATTTGTCGAATGATGAGATCTAAGAAGGATGCATGAATATTTAAATTGTATGCAAATAAAATATGCAATATCCACATAAATTATAAGAAAAGCTAAATGGTAACGATATTCACGACACAAAATAATATTTGAACAACAATGGTAAAATATACACAATTTACAATTTATTGTCTATATATGAGTAAAAATTGCAATTATGAGCTCATTTTTGTCGCTAAATATGCAATTGATAACAGCAAAAATTGAACAGAGAGAAAAGGATTTATATTTCGTTTGAGATGAGGTCTTCAGGTGAAGGTTGGAAATGTCGAACTGAACCATTTATTCCTTGATTTTCCTTTTGTCTAAAATATGCATTGAGGGCGGTAACAGAATCAAAATTGCAAAAAATATGAGACCTCATAGAAATGAATAAAATATGCATTGAATGTCAGAGAAAAGCGATAATAATAGCAAAATTGCAATATGAGCTCTGGTAAAATATGCATTGATAACAGCAAAATTGCAATATGAGCTCTGGTAAAAAATATGCATTGATAACAGCAAAAAATTGCAATATGAGCTCTGGTAAAATATGCATTGATAACAGCAATATGAAAAATTGCAATAACAGCAAAAGCTCTGGTAAAATATGCATTGATAACAGCAAAAATTGCAATATGAGCTCTGGTAAAATATGCATTGATAACAGCAAAAATTGCAATATGAGCTCTGGTAAAATATGCATTGATAACAGCAAAATTGCAATATGAGCTGCAATATGTAAAATATGCATTGATAACAGCAAAAATTGCAATATGAGCACTGGTAAAAATGCATTGATAAAGCAAAACATTGAGGGTTTGAAAATACCCAAAATTCAATATGAGCTCTGGTAAAAAATATGTCCAGGGTTTAAAGGATACAGCACATTGAAGATAAAGGCGTTAGTTAGATCCAGTGATAGTACCCAAAGAGTGTGAGTTCAATAAAAAAAAAGTGTGAGTTCAGTGTGAGAACTTTCAGAAGGAAATAAAAAAAGGAGATAACTGGTAAATTAACAGGAGACATCCATTAGACATGGCACGGAACTAGAACCGTCTACCCGAGTGAGCGAAATAAAGGGTTCAGTTTGACATTCCAAAGAAGGCCGGAGCGTATAACGGCTGAAAACGTTGTAATAAATATGGCGACAAAGAAGGACAATAGCGTATAACGGGCTGAAACGTTGTACCTCAATAGAATTATAGACAGATACTGAAAAGATGAGGACAATAGTCCGAATAATGAGGAAATAGTCCGAATAATGTAAATAATGAACATCAATCTCAGAATTATAGACAGATACTGAAAGGCTGAAACGTTGTAATAAATATGGCGACAAAGATGAGGACAATAGTCCGAATAATGTAAATAGTGAACATAATACCTCATCTCAGAAATATAGACAGATACTGAAAGGCCGAAACGTTGTAATAAATATGGCGACAAAGATGAGGACAATAGTCCGAATAATGTAAATAGTGTACATAATACCTCAACTCAGAATAGTCCGAATAATGTAAATAAATTTACAATTTTTTTAATGATGTGCAAAGGTATAGAGAAAAGTTCTTTGCTGTTTCAGGAATGTTCAATGTCTAAAAACTTGTCTGCCTTTGATTGAAAGGTTGAATTTAAACTTAAACGAAAGATTTTTCTAAAGGTGTTACGTGAAAAAGTTGTATGAATTTTTTTCAATCTCTCATGAAGAAAGTTTGTTTCTTTGGCGGCAATTTTGACACATAATTCCTGTGTGTATCTTTTGTGTGAGTCTCAAAAAGAGACGAAAATTCATACACTGTTTCTATTTATAGTTTTTTAACAACGAAATCGGCTCCACCAGCTTGGTAGATTGTTGGAAATTTTTCTGAAAAAATGCGTGAGCGAATGTTGTATTTTTTATTTTTAGCCAATAGTATTTCTTGAAACATTTAAATTAGGGGTGAATTTAAGAAAGATTTTTTTATCTCAGTTGAGCCTATTTTGGGCACAAATTTTGACTGTTTTGTTATGGAAATTTCTCAAAGCTTATAATTATTTAACAACCAATGAAATTCAAGAAAATGTTTGAAAATTAAAATGAGGGTTACTAAAATCTGTTTATGACATGTTTCTAATAATCTGTATTTATTTTCAATTTTTCTACTTGAATTATTCACCTGTATTACATATGATCCATTATTGTACATAATTAGGTTAAATAAAATTTTAATTTTATATGAAGACTAATTTATAAAAATTCAGATGTAATAGAGTTAGTGTATTATATATTCGGGGCGGCGCTGTATCATAGATTCTGTGGGGCCCACCAGACACTTATCCCCCGGTCCACTGCATATTGATTGGAGGCCCGGGCAATGCTTGGTGATCCTTACTATCTTATCAACATTTGTTTCTTTCCGCATACATTTATACGTTACAAATTAAACTAAGCAGAGTCAGTCAGTCATGTGCCATGCGTGATACACGCTTAGGGCGATCATGTATCTTTCGATACATGACTGACAAGGCAGATTTTTTCCCTCAGTAGATTGCCATTTTTTTCTGCAGTAGACCAGTTGCCATTCAAGGCTATATAATCCGGCCTGTCCTGCTATTTACCCATAGCTGGGGGACAAGAAGTGGATTCATACCTTTCCCAAGGGTATTAGCACGTCAGTGAATGTAATGGAATCGACTGAATTGAACTCGGCTCTCGATTCCTCAATCCGAGCCGCGAATTTTGACATCACTTTGGGGTCTTTTTTTGAAGTGAATTTGTTTTGCTCATGCTAAATTTAGAAAAAAACACATAAAATTCACTATTTTTTTATCCATAATGTTGATTGTGCTAAAATTATACAACTTTTAACAAGTTGATATTAAAAATTGCCGCAAAACGTTATTGATTTATTTAAGATGAAATGATCTATTATGACATATCTTTAAATTGTATTTAGATACATTGGATTTATTTTCAATTTTCTAGTTAAATTATTCTCCTATATTGCATAGGATCCATTATTATGCATAATTAGGTTACAATAAAATTTGTATTTTATATTAACACCATGTTATGATAATTGAGATGTAGTAGATTTGGGGACCACATCATTGATTTGGTGCTTGTGTGTAGGGGACATTGGACCCTGGCACCTACCCTGGCTATGTCTCCTAATTGTGTTGGGCCAAAGATTACTATGGGAAATTCAGCGTCATTTTCTGGTAATAAAAAGACCTTGTTTTGGAAATTTTGTAAAAAAATTAAATAATTGTCAGATTTCAATGTGCCTGTTTTGGTAAACAAGCTATGTTAAGAATATTGCCATATCATGGTTACAATGAATCAAATTTCAAAAACATTTGATCCAGTCTAATGATTAGATATGTAATGGCATAGAAAATATAAAAGCATTAAGAGAAAATGCATACCAATTATTTGTTTTGGACATGCATTAGAATTATTGATTGATTTATTTGTTTTTTATGGCTTATTCAGCTCTTTTGCAGATTATTTAAAGCCCAAAAACTTTTTAGATTGTAAAGCATTTTTGGGAGATAATAATGATTTACTGATACAAGTTCTACTACTTAACCTATAACTGGGGAGAGAAGATTTGGATTCATCTTTCCCAAGATTATTTGTGTGTAAGTGAATATAATGAAGCCAACTGAATTGGAACTCAACTCCCCAATTTCTGATTTTCATGCCATTATTCATTACACCACCCCACACATTTAAACTTACAGCACCTGCCATTCCCAAGTAGTAATCTATCTAGGCGCTGACCAGGCTTGACATTGCTTAATTTCAGTGATTGTATGAGAATTGGTTTTGTACCTTGAGTATGGCTGTAAGCCATAATATAATTACTAAACACATTAAAACATTCATTCACACTGATTATTATATATGTAATGACATACCAAATACTAAAAACATGAAAGAGAAATTATTTAACTAGAGAAATGCATTTGCAATTATTTATTAAACAAACACAAAACTTTGAATCACTCTAATGATTACACAGAGTAACACAACCAATCCTTGAAGCATATATTGGATGTTAAGCAGATGCCAAAATTTTCTATCATATTTGTAGAGAGAATATACAAGGAGAAGCTGAAAAGTTCTTGGTTTGATCCACTAATCAAATCTGACTAAATAACCAAACATAATTGATTGGGGGGGCTTAGTCGAGCTGAGAACTTTTCAGTACCCATTTGGGTATAATAAAAACATCTCCCAAGACCTTGTGGTTGATGAATTATTCTCCACCCTCCAGACTCTATCCCACAGGCAGGATGTAGCAAGCTTCTTGATGCTCTATCAATACTTCCATGGAAAGTGCACAGAACAACTACATTCTCTGGTCCCACCAGTTCAAACCTTCATGGCAAGGATACACCATGCCACTTACATAGTAGCAAGCCACCCACATTACTTCTTTATTCCATTGGTCAGAAGTAAGTTCTACTCGAACAGCTTCTTCCCGTTAACCATTGCTCTGTGGAACTGACTCCCAAGTCTATGTTTACCCAATCACTACAATCTTAACGTGTTCAAGGCTAGGGTTAATTGTTATCTTCCACTCCTATCCATACAGATTACCTCCTAACATAATCCTCTATCTCAAGTGGCTACTGAGCCTTGAAAAGGGTGAAGCTTGAACTTCTCTATTACCCAACCTTTCACTCAAATAGTAGATTTCCCCACATTTCCCGCAGACACTTTTCTCTACTTGATTTCTTCCTTTCTCTTCAGACTCATGCCGTGCTCTACAGCTCTGTCCTTTTGGCAACTTCAATCATGCAGCAGTGTCTATAGATATCTCTTTTTGCTCCCCCTCTCTTATTAACAGAACATCTTTCTGTTATCAACACACTGACTGGGCTTCATTTTATGATTTGATTTGTGGTACCATTTGGAATGATACTTTTAATGATCCTCTTTATAAATGTGTCACTGAGGTTTCCTCTTTTCCAATTTCTTGCTTCCCTGATATTTACAATGTTCAAAAATTTAAATGCAATGTCAGTCATCATCTTCTGTCTTGTGGAACCCTTCTTTGTCCTTTCTGTAATCCTCCTCACTAAAGTTTTCTCATTCTCTTTCACTCCACCTCTTTTCTAATGGCATTATCACCTTGCTTGGGGCTGAAACAATTACAAAAAAAACTTCAGTTGTTTGATACCAGTTTTATTGTGAAAACATTCATGCATACCTGTGGCAATGAACGAGAAAGTCAAGTCTTACCTTGAAAACGAATATGTGTTCTCTGCACTATCTACCAATAAAGAAAATCAAATTCAAGTTCAGTCAACTTTAGTAGGCCTCAAAATATGGTAATTGTTTTTGCTTCAATACCAGTCGCAACCAATCACAACTTTTTTTACCAAATTACAAGAACACTGCTTTGGACAACATGTGACACTCTTTGTGAGTAGTTGTGCATGGCGAGTTGTGATTATGAATTTTTTTTACACTTTTGATTTACAGCTTGCACATTTTCTGACATAAAGCAGAAGATGATGACGGGTGTTTAAAATTCCACAGTTGACAATTCCTCCTCTAAAAGACATAAATTGTTATTGTTAGATACAGTGTCTTATTACAAAATGCATGAATGTTAAAATTAAAAAAATCTATAAAGCAATCAATGCTAGCATCGAGTTCTTAGCTTAAGACAAAATTATTCTGAAAGGGATCGTAAAGAAAATTACTGAAGAGTTTAGAGTCTACAATGCATTATGACAACATATTTAACAAAGGCCTATAACGGTGTCAAAAATATTATACATCTTGGCTGGAGGTCCCCTAGATTTTGAAACCTTAGGCTTCGGCCTGCTAAGATATAGGTAAATCCAACACTAAGTGAATGAATGATATTAATTAGTCCTGTATTTGGGGTTCACTTGAATTAGGGATGAGAACAGCGAATCCTTACTTTTTTTTTTTATTTATACAATCTTTTCACATGTCCTTCTCCTCCCAAATTATTAGGACTTCAAAACAGACATTTTAAAAGTATATATAAATATATGCAAAAAAAGTCTCAGAAACTAAAAGGGCGAAAGAACAAGGATTAGTGGAAAAAATTATAGTTAAGCGGTGAATTGAAAAATATAACAAACCAAAAGGTCTAACCAGTTATTGCTCTTCACTCTTCAGATCCAATCAAGGACAAAAACGTAAATATTTGTACAATGACTAAAAAAAAAGGAGGCAAAAATGCTACCAGAGAATAAGCAGTATAAATCACAGATTACATTTACACCCAGCAGCAATCATTCCTTCAGTCTACAAGGAAGGCTGATTAGACTTAATATAAATAGTATCAAGAACTTTTAGATGATTACTGTGAAAAAATCCCCTGGTGAAAGATGAAGCCCAAGTCAGATTATTTATTAAGTGTTCTACAATTTCAGAATCAGAAATATTAACAAGGGTATGCAAATCCTCGTACTATCCTTGATGGATTTCAGCTAGTATGTGCTGATCAGTCAGTGTTTTAAATTCTGATTAGTTATGCCAATATATTCAGCAGTGCACTGATATTTGTAATTGCAAATATGACAAGGTGTGGGAAGAACATCTTCACAGATGGATTTCAGCATAGGTTTGGAAGTGAAAAGAAGCCATGGTTTGGCAGAAAAATAATAAAGCTTCCAAGATTGTCTGAGACAAAAGGTGATTTATGGAATTGTACATTGCAGAAAGATCAATATTCCAACAGTTTGAATCTGCCAATCTGTTGTTCACATTCTGTCCAAGAAACATTAGAATTCAATGGAACTTGATGGCTTTTATCATGCATTATTTAGTGAATTCTCTTTAAGAATTGGGAATACATTTTCTGAAGAACTGATGACTTGATGGATTTATTTGCAGACACACCTGATGAATATCTTTGCCCCATTTCCCGGGAAATTATGCAAGATCCAGTGATAGCAGCAGGTGAGTTTATTCTTGTTTTATTGTGCAAAACAACTTCACACACCTGTTGAAGGACAAGACATACATGAGCTATTGACCAGATCAGTCAAGAAAGCCAAATATTGCAACTGAAACAATTGACAGTCCAAGAAGATTTAGATTATTTTTTTCAATAGACATAGTTTAGTAAATTTATTTCTATTAACAAACAATGTGAAATTTATGTAACAATGCAGAAAAACAGTGTATCAACATTGCAAGCAACAATGATTAGGTAACATAAAACTAATAATAAAATAATAATATTGAAAAGATTTTATCAAAAAAACTGTAAGTAAAATCAGGAACAAACAATAGGAAGGGAACGGGTTGGCCCAGCACCACCTGCTTCCGGAAGAAAGAAAACTCCTCAGCTTCAAGACAGGTTGCTCAAAACAATTTAGCTTCAACACATTGAGTGCTGAACAGTTTGATGGAATTACTCTATGTAAAATACAAACAGTCTCAGTTCTCGGTAAGAAGGACACAGTTTCCGGTGAAGACAACAACACCTCAGTTCGAAACACACAACGTAGTTATCCAAAAAAAACAATCGCCTCAAAACTCCACTGATCTTTGCACTCAATAACAACACCGCCTCGTAGTTCACTACAGACGATCTCCCGAGTAGTCTCCCGCCATCACCTTTATGCCAGCGAACACCAACCAATTTGCATACGGCCAAGTTCACCTCTCGCCAATCCTCGCAGCTACAAGATCATGTTTCCCATAAGACCGACTCACCGTAATGGTGGTGTTTCTTCCTTCGGATCAATTACTGCCCTGCACGCCAGACACAAACGAACCCTCTTATGTCGAGAGCTAAGGTTAGTCTCATTTTCATGTCCACTAAAACAAAATAATAAAATGGAGTAAAACTAGTGATAAAATAATTGTTAAAAGGCTTTATCTAAAAAGCAACAATACTAAGATGGAGTAAAACTATTAATAAAATAATGGGGGAAAATGCTTCATCTAAAAAGCAACAATACTAAGATGGAGTAAAACTATTAATAAAATAATGGTGAAAATGCTTCATCTTAAAAGCAACAATAATAAATTGAAGTAAAACTAGAAATAAAATAATGTTTAAAATGCTTCATGTAGAAAACAAAAACAAGAAGAAGTAAATCTATTAATAAAATAATGAGGGAAATGCTTCATCTTAAAAGCAACAATAAGATGGAGTAAAAACTAGTAATAAAATAATAATGTTTAAAATGCTTCATCTAAAAAACAACAACAATAATAATAATGAGTAAAACTATTAATAAAATAATGGGGAAAATGCTTCATCTAAAAAGTGACAATAATGAGATTGAGTAAAACTATTAATAAAATCATAATAGTTAAAATGCTTCATCTAAAATACAACAATATAAATTGGGTAAAATTTGCAGTAAAAAAAAAATAACAGGAAAAATGACTCATAAAATTTCAAAATAATTTCAGTTCTGAATGCTTCTAGTTAATTCTTACTGATTCTGTCCCATTATTTTCTCAGTCACTTTTTGTCATGGATATAACCAACCTGGCACATTGGATTAATATTATTAATAAATTTTTCAAACAAAACAGATGTCAAGTTTTGTGAAGAACATACTGTTACACATTTTGTAGTACAACTATTATGTTTTTCTACCTAGTGTAGTATCTGTTCAATTTATGTCCATTCTCTGTGGAAATCCGTTACATTTTCTGACCAAGAAACTTAATGGTATTAAAGAAAGGATTTTGAAAAAGTGAAGGAGAGAATAGAAAAAGAAGGTATGAAGGAGGAAAAGTAGGAAGAAAGAAATCTAGAGAAAAACAAAAAGAGAACCAGGTGAAAGGAAAAAATATAAAGAGAGAGAAAATAGAGAAAAGGTAAGTGGTAAGAAAGCTACAGAAAATAAAAAGAAAACCAGGTGAAAGGAAAAAATATACATAAATAAGATGAATAGAGATAAAAGAGAGATATGGATAGGTTTGCTGGTTGGATATCAAGCAACAATGTGTGAAATATTGAAAGACATGTAGGGATAGAAAAATTAGGTATAAAAATTGCAATACATTAAAATTCTTTTTGGAAAGCTCATCAAAGAATGAATAGTAGCTGCAATAGAAAATATTTTTGCATTCCTTAACCTTTTTCTAATAATTCAACAAATCTTTCAACATCTGTCTATATTTCTGACATGTGGTATGTAACTGTTTGCATTATTTGAACTGTTGTCCTCATCTTTATTGCCATATTCACAATGTTTCAGCCATTTTACACTCCAGCCTTCTTCAAATAATATTTCAAGCCAAACTCAAGGACACATGGCCTAGTGGATAAAAATCGTTGGTTGAATGATCCAAAATGACTTGACCCATAGAATTGTGAGTTCAATACTTGACCACAGCAGAGGGAACAAAGGGGAAATAACTGAAACTGAGATAGCCACGGGTATGACATGTGGAATTGGAACAATCTGCCTCCATGGGTTTGGTTCAAAAGTTCAAATAATATCACCTGAAGAAGACTGGAGTGTACAATGGCCGAAATGTTGTGAATATGGCAATAAAAATGAGGACAAGAATCCAAACATGTAAACAGTGTAAATAAATCTCATATTTAACATTTTATTTAACTCCTGACTTTGTCGGTTATTGTCACCACTGTGTGTGTGTGTTTGGTCGGTCCTGGGATGTCATCCCAAATGCAACTTTTACATTCTCATGTGTTATGGTAATTTACCCACACACGCATGGACTCCCTCCCAGCTATAAATAGGAGCAAGTACTGCCTTTTGGAGAGGGATGTTTCCAGCAATCAGCTCTGACCATCGGACCAAACATTCTTGCTGTAACATTCTCCTTTGTATATGTTTGTATTACTGCTTCTGTTAATATATTTATTTAACTCAATTCCTCTCTTTGTGTCTTTATTTCTGGCCCTAACAAGGTCACAACATCATGTGTGTTGTCTGAGAGAGACTACTGTCTTCTCAAGCCAATAATCTATAATTTACCTTTCATACAAACTTTTTTCATGCATGTTTCCCAGGTTCAACTGGTCTGGTCATGTGTATTGGTAATTGGCGGCCAGGAGGTCACCTCAATTCAGCCCTAAACCTGGCTCCTATGAAGGTCACTGATCTGAGGGGACCATATAATACATTAGCAAATAAATTTAATGTTTGGTATATTTTTATATAAACTGCAACATTACTTTCTGAACTATCTAATAACTTTAGGCACTTCAGCATGGGGTAATGGTTAGTTAAGTTGCTCATTACTAATGAGTAGTGAGTTCAATCCTCACTGGGTGCCCCATACAAAAATTCAGCCATAATTCAATAAGGGTTGGCATATAAAATCAACCAACCTCACTTGAAGTGGGGTAATGTTTTGTGAGGCTCATCAGATTTCTCTTTACTACTGAGCAATAAGTTTGATCCTTACTCGGTGCCCCCATATGAAAATTCAGCATTAACCTAACTAGGGTTGGCATGTCATAAAATTTACTAATCACTAATTATCTATCTATATAATACTAAAAATCTGTGATTCATGGTGCATTGTCTGTCCAGCACATAATAATGATTTAAGTTTTTTTCCACCTCTCTGTAATTGCTTGCATGGTGTTTCCATCTGGTGCATCATGATTTAAGTTAATCTGATTTAAGTGAATAAGATTTAAAAATACGAGTTGTTTATACAGTAAATATTTTTATTTTAACTTTCTTCAAACGGACAATTTTTTTTAATTAAAATATTTATAAATTAAAGACAGACACATATTTTTCAGCATATTAAAAAATATTTTTAAGTTAATCTGATTTTTAAAATATTTTAAGTGAATAAGATTTAAAAATATGATTTTCTTTTTTATAGAGTATTTTTATTTTAACTTTCTTCAGATAGACAATTTGTTTAATGTTGAAATCAACTTCACTGTTTTATAACCTGAACCATCAATAACCCAATGGGTCATAGATAGTCTAGTACTATCTAAAGTTTAGGTTTTATATTATTATTGTTTTGATCTTTTTTTTAGATGGTTACACTTATGAAAGAGCAGCCATAGAGTCGTGGATTAAAACCGGTAATAGTCAAAGTCCAATGACCAATTCTCCTCTTTTGAGCAAGCACCTGACACCGAATCGAACTGTCAAAATGCTGATACAACGTCATATCACAAGTTAAAGGTGTGTAAAACAGTTTCTTTTAAAGTTGTCAATGTTATCCTAAGTATTTTAGATTTAAACATTTAAATATCTATGAAGAAGTTATATTGTAAAAGGTCCAAGTTTATATGTTGTGTTTTTTAATACAGGTTCATCACTAATTTTCCAACACGCTTCGTTTCATGACCATACTAGATTATCTGTGATACTATAGACACCCATGTAATATTAGATTATCTGTGATACTATAGACACCCATGTAATACTAGATTATCTGCGATACTATAGTCACCCATGTAATACTAGATTATCTGCGATACTATAGTCACACATGTAATACTAGATTATCTGTGATACTATAGTCATCCATGTAATACTAGATTATCTGTGATACTATAGACACCCATGTAATACTAGATTATCTGTGATACTATAGACACCCATGTAATACTAGATTATCTGTGATACTATAGACACCCATGTAATACTAGATTATCTGTGATACTATAGACACCCATGTAATACTAGATTATCTGTGATACTATAGTCACACATGTAATACTAGATTATCTGTGATACTATAGACACCAATGTAGAAAAGGAAGAAGTGGTTTTATCTTAGTGGCAAGTTTGTTTTTTTCATGGACACTAAATAGTTCCTTTTGCTGTTTAATCTAAGTGGTATCCACTTTAACTGAAAGGGAATGTGAAGTAAATGGATCTTTACAAGATCAAGTGGCAACAAAACCAGAAAAAGTGTATATCTGGGTTTTGATCTATATTAACAGTCATGCTTGGGATTGGGGAGAGTTCTGATCTTCTCTTGGTAGGAGACAAACATGTTTATCAAGTGGTTCCAAAGTGTCCATTTTATATTGCCAGCCACCTTGTTGGGATCAGTAGATAGACAAGGAGGGGTTGTTAGGGTTGGGGGATGAGCTGATATAGCACTTGTTTCAAGTACCACTTACCTACCCACTCGTATAAGTAAGCAAAGCCCTGACTAAAACACTTACATATAATATTGGGAAACAGTGTTCACGTTCTTATTCATTGATGTGTTCTTACCTTATGAGTATACTGCACAGCTTTCCCTACCTTGTGAGACATTTATAGCAAAATGCAGAAATGACGTCCTATGTACACATAGGCAACTAGATCCCTACATCAGTTTTATAGCAAAGTGAAGAAATGACATTGTATGTACACACAGGCACCTCAATCTTTGCATCAGTTTACACTGTGTCAATGATTGAACATTGGCATCAACAAAATTAAGTTTCAGTATTAAATATACCAACTGCGATGGGTAAATTATCGCCATCTTATATTTTTAATTTCGTGCATGCACCTTGTTTATTTTTTATTTTGTCGACTACACAGTATAGTAGGGTCAGTTGGGCACCATCTATGAGAAAAAGAGCACCATGATGCAATTCACTCTGCCAGAAATTTGGAAACTGCATGCTGTACTGCTTGGTATTTGTGCCGGAACCTCCAACATGAACATTTCAGACTGTTTGGGTGTCAATCTGAGGACAGTGCAGAGGATTAAGAAATAGTTGGATAAGTCTAATAGTGATTACGAAGGTACGGCAATAAAAAAAGAACTCCTAAATTTGTTGGGGGGAGGCCTCAGACTCAACACAGAGGTCTGCATCAAGTGCATTGAGGAGGTAGTGCTGCTCTGGGTCAAGAGGGTGGCTGCTGGAGACCCTATGTCTGGCAATTGGACTATTCATGATGTCACACAAGCAGGAGAACCCAATCATGGCTGTCAGATTATTTCTGCAACCACATCACTTCTTACATCTGGCCACCTAACACCCCAGACTGCATCCCACTTGATTATTATGTGTTGGGAACAGTTGAGCGAGAGACCAACAAAATTCTTTGTAACACCAAAGATGAACTGAAGACAAGGATTATGGTAGCATTCACCAACTTAAACAAGGAGACCTTCCAGAAGAGTTACAGGAAATTTCGAAGTCCTCTGGAGGCCATTGTTGAAGCCAATGGCGATTTTATTGAATAAATTTACTGTTTAGTATTTTTGTGTAATTTAGGTAAATATATCTGTTAAAATGAGATGTCAGTGTTATTTACAATTTTTGTGTAATTTAGACGACAATTTATCCATCGCACCCTGTATACGAGTTGGGATCAAATATAGATCGAAATCTGACAGAATCAGGTAAAAAAAAACAAATAGGAGACATTTATAAATCTAACATGTTTTACTTTCATAAAAGCTTTGTCGGAGAATGAGATGTTAAAAAAAAAAAGAATGTTTTTCACTTATGCTTGGAATGTGTTAATTTCTTGAACTTACAAATGGATGCATCATCTCTCCTTGAATTTGGAATGCCACAAATTATATTAACGTTTTATTCTCTGATGCAGCTTTAATAAAAGTGAAACATGTTAAATTGATAAATGTTCTCTATTTGATCTTTTATTTTATATATATATATATATATATATATATATATATATATATATATTTTTTTTTTTTTTTTTTTTAACATTTCACCCCAAGCAAGGTGAGAATGCCACTAAAAAGCAAGGGGTTACAGATAGTGAAAGGAAAAAAAAAGAGGGAGGGGGTGTTTGAGGAAAGGATGAGGAGAAGAATGGGGATCAAAATCAAGGCATCACAAGATGTCAACTGACATTACATTTAAATTTTTGAAAATTATAGTTATCAGAGAAGCAAGTAAGAGGAAGGGAGTTCCACTGTTGGGAAGTGTGAGAGAAGCTGTTGGAGTAAAAGAGTCAATTACATTTAACTGATTTAACAGTAAAGGGGTGGGACTGAGACACCAAGCACACTTAAATTTATGCAGTTTGGGCACCAGTGAAAATAGCCCATCAGCGCAGTTGCCATGAAAATATTTGTAGAAAAGACAGAGAGAAGCCACATCACGTCTGCAAGAAAGTGACTGGAGTCATGATGCCATGTCAGGACCTATCACATTGCATATCCATCTTTGGCTTTTGTTGAGAACATCAAGATAAACAGTGAGGACACCAGATTATATATGGCAACAGTGTCCAATGCAAGGATGAATGATAGATTTGAAAGACAGACTTGGACGAGAATATATACGTGCACATACACAAGTTTCATTAAAGATGACTGAAAAGATACTGCAATTAAGCTTTTGATTTAATTGTGTTTTCATTTCTGGATGTAAATTGCATAAAAATTGTCCAAATGTTCTGCATATCCGTGTTTTCAGCTGTTCTTTTACCCATTATCAAGGATGATTTTTCTACACACAGAAAACCTATCAAACTCTGCGACATACTAGTAGAAAATACAAATATAATAGCCTCATCCACATGTAAAAAAAAAAAAAACAAAAAAGACTAAAAGCAACTTTCTTAGCAACTGACCTAGCAATAGATTCAATATAGTCTTTCCACTTCATGCCAGCTAAGAACATTAGCCCGAGAAGGTGCAATATGTTACTTTCCTACAGGTTAGCCTCAACCATGCTGATGGACGGGGGATGGGGGGAGGTGCTTCGTCTTTCAGATTATTAAAGGAGTAAAGTTTGGTTTTGGAGGCATTAAAATTAACAAGCCATCTTTTGTCCCAGTTAACAATGGAATTGAGGTAGTTTGGGACATCAGCTGCCATTTTGACCTTATTGTACTGATTAGACTTACTATTGAGGAAGGAGTAAGTGATTGTCATCAGCTACTAAGTTGAGAGCTGATAATATTAATGAAAATTAAAACCAGAGTATGACCAAGGATGGAGGCCTGGGGTAACACCTGCATTAGTACAAAAGCATCTTGACAAGTAGCCGTTCAGGATAACCTTTGTTTCAGATTTGATAGGAAAGACTAAATCAGTTCAAAAATATATCTGGAGACACCATAATTACATTTCAGCTTGTGGAGAAGCCCTGTATGCTGAATGCTGTCAAAGGCTTTCAAGATGTCCAATGCTTCAGCCCAAGGTTCACCATTTTTATCTAGAGCAATCATCATCAGTACATCAGTAGTTGACCTGGAGAAACGAAAACTGTATTGCTTGTCTGAAAACAAAGCTCTCAATCAGTTTACACCACAGGAAAGACTCCCATTAAATGTAACAACATTGAAAAATAACAATAAATTAATGTGCAAGTAATTTGTGCAGACATGTCTGTATGTGCAAATATATATATATAAATACAGTTATCTCCTGTTAATTTCCCTCTGAAAGTTCTCCACTGCCTTAACCGGGTATTGAACTCACACTCTTTGGCTCCTGTCACTGGATCTAACTAACGCCTTTATCCACTGTGTCATGTGTCCTTAACAGGAGATAACTGACATCCATTAAACATGGCACGTGGAACTAGAACAGTCTACCCCAGTGAGCGAAATAAAGGGTTCAGTTCGACATTCCAACCGCCTGAAGAAGGCCGGAGCATACAATGGCCGAAACGTTGTAATAAATATGTCGACAAATATGAGGACAATAGTCCGAATAATGTAAATAATGTACATAATACCTCATCTCATAAATATAGACAGATACAAATATATATATATATGTATTAGCTTCAAAAATGCCCTATCAAGTGGCATTTAAGTTTGTTCTTGTGAAGGCTCATGATTCGACCTTCAGCTTGTTCAGGAGTTTGAGAGTCCCTAAGTCTTTTTATATTCTCAGCATTGGAAGCTCTTTTGGCTGCCATTTGATCTGGGTTCTCAATTCTTTCTTTTCCTCACTGCAGTTCTGGCTCTTTTAATTGCAGTTCATCTGAGCACTTTCGTTTCCCCATTGGTGTGCCAAAGCTTACAGTTCGGATAACAGAGCAAGTTGGATTTTTTCCAAAAACAGAATTGACACAAGACTTGTTGGAAAGTGTCTCCATCCTACCCTGCTGATTTATAAATGAAACCACATTCATTCATATGCTATTTGTATAAATCTTCTTCCACCAGAATCAGAAATCTCCATGCATTGTATAGCAGAAGATGCTAAACAGAGTATTGAGAAACAGAAAAAATTCTTTAAAAACAAAGAAAAGTACTGAACTGTTCAGTAATATCAATCCTCTTATATTGAATTCAATGATGAACAATTTCCTTACAGATGACTGATTTATTGATTGATTTGTTTTGAAGTAATAAAAATATGGTGTTATTCTGCTTTCACATTTGAATACATGGTAGATGATACTCAGCTTTTGTGTATATACATGTTTGTATGGACATAATTACTAGAGGTGATGACAAATGCATTTTATATTATGTGCAAGTTGTATTTTGAAATAGTTTGATTTCTTTAAGAAATTATAGGATATTATATGGACTAATGTCATGAAAGAATTCTTTCATGTTGATTGTTTGGTTGGTTAGCACCAAATCAACCACTATGAGTTAATGCCAAATTCTAAATATTTAGTACATAATTTTATACTTTCAGAGTAAAGGTATGTTTTTTTAGATATATATTTTATGGATGATAAAACGTATTGTTGATAGTTTTACTATAAGAATGTATTTTTATATTTTTTTTAGTGTTGCATTGATTGACATTTTGCTATAAAAAATCAATTGTTGGTCATTTTATTATAAAAATGTACTGTTTGGAAGTTCATTATTTTCCCATAGCTGGGACCCTAACAGGTGCTACTACCCCAGGTCAGAGTTGACTTGGGAACAAAAGCAATTAAGAGGTGGTTCCACATTCCTCAAAAACCATAAACTCCTGATCAGAGGCCTTGGTTCCAGATGTAGCTTATCACACCCAGGACTACCTCACAGATGAAGAGGGGTCAAAAGATGTGGTTCTGTGAATGGGTGCTGACAATACCATAGATGGAGCATGAGAGCCACAAGAAAGATTTAAGGAAAATGGGAATAAAAAGGACAGTTAGAATCAAAGAGAGAGAGAGAGTGAGTTGGCATTTCTGGGACACATAATGATAAAATAGGGCTTGGAGAATTTGACACTCACAGTAGATTGAAGGTAAGAGGAGCAGGAGAAAATGGCAAGTAACATTCGTAATTGTGTCAATGGATGGCAGAACAGGGACTGGAAGGGATTATAACGGGACTAACATTGCTTAGATGTATGACAGAGCAGATGTTGTGGAGAACCATGATCGGTTGTGTTTAAAGGGAAACACTACATAAAACAAGAAGTCTCTAGTCATCTTCCCTTTAGGTAGCTTAAATGACATGCTATAACCATTCAGCCACAGAGAACTTCCTGTTAGCAAAGCACAAATTACTGCTCTTAAACACACACCTTTGACAATTTCTCTCGATCTATCATATCTACTCTGAAATTGTAACTTAAACAATGACAACATTATATGAAATGGATTAAATCCACCAAATATTTTAATATATTTTGTATATGCATTTTTCATCATGTTTCTTTAACTGGAAGTTCTCTGATGGTGCCATATAAGATACAGTACAAATCTTGTCAAAGAAGGCATATTTTCTACAACATTTCTCAAACATTCAGGCTGGTACATGTAATTAGTATTGTTTAATTAAAAAACAGCATTTACTCAAGTGTATCCATAAAAAAAATAATGTATAAACAGAAAATATATATATATATATATATATATATAAACATTGAAGTCAACAGGCTGTTTCATGCTAGACACAATCATCAGGACACTCGTGGCCTGACAATTGCATCTAGCATGAAACAGCCTGTTACCTCTAAGTGTTGACTCCAATGTACACTTTCATATTTACACATGCTCTATCTCTGATATTGAGCACTTTATCCCATAAATATAGCACACTTAAGAGTATATTTCAAGGACACATGGCACAGTGGATAAAGGCATTGGTTAGATCCAGTGACAGGACCCAAAGAGTATGAGTTCAATAGCCAGGTAAGGCAGTGGAGAACTTTCAGAGGGAAATTAACAGATAACTGATAACTGACATCCATTAAACATGGCACATGGAACTAGAACAGTCTACCCCAGTGAGTGAAATGAAAGGGTAAGTACGACATACCAACCACCTGAAGAAGACTGGAGTGTACAACGGCCGAAATGTTGTAATAAATATGGCAACAAAGATGAGGACAATAGTCCAAAAATGTAAATAATGAAGTATATTTTTTTTATATATATATATATATATATATATATATATATATATATAATGTGTGTGTGTAAGGTTCCTTAAATATATCGTAACTGGCAGTGGGTTAGATGTGACAATATTCAGTACAAAGGACAGTGGATTCATGGGGATAATTCCCCATAACTGATACCGAAAGTTAGTCCCTAGAAAAATTCTTTAAACACTAAATGTACATTCGTTCAGCAGCTGCACTCACTGAAAGAAAAACATTGTTCACCTCCAGGACAAGGCAAAACAGCATACAGAAAGAATAAGACAGGGAAAAAATCTGGCAGTAGAACAATCTAATGAGACTCTTTTGGCCCCCAATGACCATATTGCACCACTCGATTATTAGCTTTTTTCGATTGCTGCAAAATGCTTTGATGAGGGATAACTTTCTGTAATGAAAACCAGATTCAAGACCTGCAAAATTTTGCTCAAAACTGGTAAGTAGCAACAAGTCGTTGCAAGTAATGGTGAATAAATAATGGAATAAATTGTAATTGTACTTTATTTTTTTTAAGAATAATCTTGATATTTGTTTATCAACCATAATTAACATAATATCTAATTTTTTTTTTTTTTTTTTTTTTTCCAGACTCTAGAATCCTGTCTCAAGAGAAACAGGACAGCCAATGTAATGAGGAAACACATTGTTAAGATTTGGAATAGTTTTATCTGAAAACTTCTGTAAAACATGATTTTAAAAACATTATCAAAGTACAAGAAAAAAAGACATTTTGAAGAAAGAAATAATTTTTTTATACGATTAAAAAAAAAGAAGCATCTCCGCTGTTTCCATAATAATAATAATAATAATAATAATAATCGCAACATATAGAATTAAATGTTCAACTTATAATCCCAATTCAGAGTTTTACAGATCTGGTATCTAGCTATCAGGCGATTTGATAGTAAATTGATTGTTAGGAACATAAGTTGGATATTTAATTTTGTTTGTTATTTATTCCATATCTATTAATATTGAGCACTTTAATTACAAAATACATTGGTCAGCTGTTTTTCTTTTGGAAGTACAAGACACAATCTTGTTTATATATATATATATATATATATATATATATATATATATATATATATATATATATATGAGAAACAGAAAAGAGAGATAATATGAAGTTTATTTTTATTTTTGGAAAAAAATTTTTATAGTGAATTGAAAGGAAAATATTTAGGACCAGTGTTTCAGTGCTGCATCGCATCGAATCTTTGATCAGACAACAAGATGTTGCATTCCTAAATGAAGATTCATCAAAAATATATATCTGCCCATTTTGTATACACTTACCATATCATTTACTAAGGTTGATTTAGTTTGTCTCAAAGTCACACTAGTAGGACACCCAGTGAGGATCAAACTCATGTATCTCATAATGTGAACACTATATATTGGGGTCCCCACATATCAACTCTTCATAGATCAAAGCTTCCTGATGAACAATAAATACAATTCACACCTCTGCAGTTTGTTAGCATGAATGATATACAAAACATCCAGATTATCCTCAGCACCAAAACGGCACTAATTTCTAAAGTAATTAAGAAAACGCAACACCAGGCAGTGTTTTCAAAGGGTTTTATTAATAAGAACTTAAAACATTTTGTTATCTAAATGTTTTAATATCAGGTTTTCCAATTCTTTAAAATTTTATTTAAATATATTTTTTTAACTTCAAGCCAAGAATGTTAGACCAAGGAGGAGTAATGAGTCCCTGTCATAGCGGTTAGCATCAGCCATACTGATGGATGGCAGGAATGGGTCTTTCGGGAGATCAAACCAAAAATGGAATATTGCTACCATATGTCAACCAGAGCTAAAAAAAGTAGTTAAGAACTACTGCTTCAGTGCCATATTCTTTGATCAGGCAATATAGGTTGTTGCATTCCTAAATGAAAATTCATCTGCCCACTCTGTAGCATCGCACACAAGCAGGGGAACCTAGTCATGGCTGTCAGACAATTTCTGCAACCACATCACTTTTTACATCTAGTCAACTAACTCCCCAGACTACAAACCCCTTGTAACACCAAAGATGAACTGAGGACAAGGATTATGGCAGCATTCACCACCTTAAACAAGGAGACAATCAGGATGTTCAGTGAGTTTTCCAAGTTGCTGTAACTTCATAATCACCATTAGACTCATCCAACACTTTCCGAATCCTCTGCACTGTCCTCAGATTGACACCCAAACACTCTGAAATATTTGTATTGGAGCTTCCTGTGCAAATGCCAAGCAGTAAGGCATGCCATTTCCAAATTTCTGGCAGAGTGAATTGCATCATGGTGCTCTTTTTCTCATACATGGTGCCCAACTGACCCTACTATAATGTGCAGTTGACAAAAGCAAAACAAGGAACATGTACAAAATTAAAAAGATAAAATGGCAATAATTTACCCATCGCACCCTGTATTGTTAACAAAAACAATCAGCATTTGTTGTCTATTTAATGATCTTTTCCTAATGTAAATTTTTTACTTTTGCAAATGTGGTTGTTGTTAAATGCAGATAAATTGGCTAAAATTCATTTGAAGTTCCAAGTTTTCCACTCACATGACACCAAAAGTTTGAGACTACACATCATACGGTTTGACCAATTTATCCCCATGCAACAACCACATTTGTAAAAGGATATTTGTACATCAGAAAAAAAAAGATCATTATAAATAATAGACACAAAATGTCTATTGTTTTTAACAATATATATTATTATTATTTGGCCAGTTAATTCTAATCTCATAGCATTGAATTGACATTCCATTTCTTGCTTCATGACTGCAAAGTTCTGAGTACAAGAAATATAGTGTGAAGGGACAAAGTTTGGTGATATTTTGAGGTACTGTTAGGGTGCTATGGGTTAGTGGTAATGTTGCTTCAACCCCAAAACTCTAATACTAGTCATTTAATGATGACTTTGTTCATAGGAAAGCTGTTGTTGTACTAGTAGCAATATGTATAAGAATTCATGTGTGTATGTATGTATGTATATATATATATATATATATATATATAGATATTATAATTTTATCATATAGGCAAAAACAGTTTACTCACTACAAAGATGCAACTTTGTTTTGGTACATTTCAATTGCACCTTGACTGGTGAGAACCAAAAATGGTTATGAACAGTTCTGCTTGTAAGCAAGCCGTATGTGAAATGTCACTTCCGTTCTTCCATTTGTTTGAGAAAAAAATATATACATAAAGCAAAAAGGTGACTGAGTGAAACACTAGTGCTTGTTGATAGCAGTTTGGTGAAGGATGGGTGGGGGTGTTGAATGCTGGCTAATCTGGGAAGATTCCTTGCAGATAAACAATGGTCAAAATTTTAGGCATCTCACAAGCATCCTAAGAGTGAGGGGTGGGGGAGGAAAGGTGGTAATAGGAGAGAGTAATACAATGGAAGAGGTAGGAGAGATAAATTCTAGCTATAGTTATAATAGTAACTGGGAATGTTTTTTTTGGTTTTTTTTTGGTTTACTATAAAAAAAAAACAAGCTAAAGCTGAATTGCATATATTTATGTTGGAGTTATCACTACTGTTTCTGTAATCAAGGAAAATGTTTTGTAAATTAATAAATTTAGAAGTGCTATCAACAAGCACTAGTGTTTCACTTCGTCAACTTTTTGCTTTATGTATATTTTTTCTCAAACAAATGGAAAAACGGAAGTGACATTTCACATACGGCTTGCTTACAAGCAGAACTGTTCATAACCATTTTTGGTTCTCACCAGTCGAGGTGCAATTGAAATGCACCGAAACGAAGTTGCAGTGAGTAAACTGTTTTTGTCTATATGAAAAAATTATAATAAATAAATATCGCTCTACTATTGGTATCGAAACCTCTTTTGAATTAATGCTGTGAACGTTAGAATTTATATATTACTTTCATTCTCATTCCATCCTATACATACATACACACACACACACACACACACACATATATATATATATATATATATATATTTCTTTGATACAGAGAATAGGCAGTGGTATTGTGCTTCACTGGTGAAATTGGGAGGTTTAAAAATCACTTTTCTCAATCTTTACATTTACCTAAGTTCAACCATTAATCATAAGTGCCATGAATACCTGAATAAAATAAGTAGATGGCATTATTAAAGGGTCATGGTAATATTAGCCGTTTCCTTATACGGAAACACTGATGATCATTATTATTATATATGATATTTTAATTTTTAAAATAAAAGAAAGTTCTGTAAATGTTGTTTGTTTTTTTTTTATTTTTTTGTAAGTAAAAAAAAAAAAAAAAAAAATTTGTAATCTGATGTATCAAAGTGATAGCCTCATCCAAAATTTTAGAAGTATATGATTAATGCTTTGTGATGTGAGTCAAAAAAGAAAAGTCATTTTTACTAAATAAATGAAAGCAAGTATAGGGATACAAAAATTTGAGAAAACTATAATCGAAAAAGAAACCAAATAGAATTAGATTGTACAGGGTTACATAAAGTCTGTGTGTGCTTTAAAGAATTTATAACTTTTTTGTATTTGCGATAGAAGTAATTTGTAAAAAGGATTAGAAAGAAGTAAATCTATATTTTTTATATCACAAATACAAATAAAGTTAAATTTTTTAAAGTGCACACAACTTTATGGACACCCTGTGTGCGTGTATGTATGTATATATATATACAGGGTGTCCATAAAGTTCGTGTGCACTTTAAAGAATTTATAACTTTTTTTGTATTTGCAATAGAAATAATTTGTAAAAAGTATTAGAAAGAAGTAAATCTATATTTTTTAAGGTTTTATTGAAATTTTATTTAAGTTTCGACACGTCCTCCATCATTAGCAATAGAAAGGGTAATACAATTTTACAATTCACGGAAAACATTTGCCAACTGATTTACAGTAATGCCTGAAATCAGATTAGTTATTTTAGCTATACTTAAAACTAGGTACAGTTAACTTTATAATGTTTTTTACAGATTATGTCTATCGCAAATACAAATAAAGTTATAAATTTTTTAAATTGCACATGAACTTTATGGACACCCTGTATAAAAAAAAAAAAAAAGCACTTGATTAATTCTTTGAGATTGGAATTTATGTGAGCTGAAACCTATATTCATAATTTAAAAGGTTGTGTACATAACAGAATTTTCAAATGACTGATTGAGCAAAACATATCTGAATATTTTCCTATTCACCCAAAATACATGTAATTCTCATCTCTTGACCCTACTTTCAGAAAATAAATATATTTATGGGTCCATCTAACAACCTGATGTGTGTTGCGGTTTAATGGATATTGGCCTGGAATGAGACCTTTAAGAGTCAAGTTCGTTATATTCACTTACGCACAAATACCCTTGGGAAAGGTATGAAATACCCCATCTCCCAGTTATGGGTTGAATAACAGGACAGACTGGTTTCTTTAGCTTTGGTTGGCAACCAGTCTACTGTAGAAAGAAATAGCAACCTGCTGTGGGGGAAAAATCTTCTGTCATGTATTGAAAGATATATGATTGCCCAACTATGTGTGTATCACATGTGGCACTTAACTAACAACCCCAGCTAACCAAATCTGGGTTGTGACAAGGGAACCTACTTTGAATAAAAGGCCTCCATGATAATTCCAGTGTCCAAAGACTTTATAAACAGAAAGGTCTATACCTGCAGACATTAGGAAAGATTGCCCCAGTCAGTAATGCCTGTTTTGTTCTCTGGCTGTTAGAGTTATAGAGCTGCATTTTGCCAGATTTAGAAGAACAGAGTTAAAAAGGAAAAAAAAGACAAGATAAAAGAATTTGTTGTGATTGTTAGACTGACCATTCATAGTAAGAGGCTTGAAAGGAAAGAGACTAGCATACATTCCAGCTACAAGCACAACAAAGAAAGAAAACAGAATTGTGCTGTAATTGCTAATAATAATAATTGTTTATCTGAATGGCCTTGTGATTTGAATTCATTTCCAGCTTAAAGGCTTACCACAGGCCTGTCAGATATCTAATTTGACAGATAAACCCAACACCAGTTTCAACATAGCAAAGAACAGATTGTGGTGTAGCTAATTACAACAGAGCAGGAACAGGTTATGGCTGGTATGGCAACATTCACAACTTGTCATTCCTCTAAAAACCAATGAGAGTGGGCTTTGGTAAATATAATCTGACAGCAAATGTGCAATCAGTTTTAAAGCCTGTCCTGTCAACAGTTTTTACACAAACTAAAGAGAAAATCTCACAGTCAATTTGTTCTTGTATCAAAAGAGAAAGTTCATTTGGATTTGGATTTTACAAGTAGATAGCAGTAACTGTGTGGCTACACATGGTAGTGAGACAAATTGAATTGTTAACCCAGCAAGAAATTGGGTTATTGACCAATTTCTATTGGATTTAACTACCAATATAAGGAACTCTACTTCCAGACTCAAATCAGTTGCTCACAACAGGTTAGAAACATCCATTAACATATTTAATAATATTAACCTTTTCTTTATAAGGAAATATTCAGCATTCATTGACCAAATAACGAGTACTTCTTTTGGTTGAATTTTATCAGATCTTTTTCTTAAAACAATTTTTCAGAAAAATAGCTTTCTCATGTCCACTGGCTGTGCTGCAGCCAATTTGATCAGCTCCAAGCAGCAAGTGACAAATATTAGCCTTTTCTTTATAAGGAAATATTCAGCATTCATTCACCAAACAACGAGTACTTCTTTTGGTTGAAATTTATGAAATCTCTTTCTTAAAACAATTTTTCAGGATAATGAGTTTCTCAGGTTCAGTTAATGCTCTTTCCAGTACTGATGGGGTTTTCCTTCCTAATTTTTTATTGGAAGTATACAATATACTTCTATTTGAATTAATTTGAATTCTAGCGTTTCCCAAAATGATAAGATGTATCTAATAAAATCTTGTCGACTGTACTGACTACAACCGGCTGAGACAGTCAAAAGTACTTGAACAACAATGGAACCAAACATGAACAATTCATCTACAATTTGGATTTTAATGTGCATCATCTTATTCAAAAATGTGAAAAATAAATTAGAAATTAAACAAAAAGACCTTGTCGGTTGAATTTAATGAAAACCGTTTAGATATATATTAGAATAAACATCATATTTAGTTTCTACACATATTTCAGTGAATATCTATCTTTAAAACAGTGAAAATAATGTCTACCTGCCTAGAGATTGAAAGTCTTAATAAATAATGTTTTGGTTTCATAGTAATTTACAGCGTTGGGCAAAACTACCTCTGGCACAGCCTATGGTAATATTAACCTTTTCCTTATATGGAAACATTTGGCATTCATTGATTGAGCCACCAGTGCTACTATTGGTTGAAATTTATCAAATCTTTCTCTTAAAACAATTTTTCAAGAAAATAGCTTTCTCAAGTTCAGTAGATGTTATCACTCTTTCCAGTATTTGAGGTGGGGGGGGATTCCTTCCTAACCTTTTATTTGTGGTAGATAATGGGCAATGTCAACATCTTGACTATGTCACTATTTTCAAGCTACATATGTTATCCACTTTAATAAATTTCCCTATTGCATCATTAAATATTTGAGCACAACAACTTTAACCAATCATATGTCCCCAAGGACATGTGGCCCAGTGGATAAAAGCATTGGTTGATTGACCCAAAAGTGACTTAACCCAAAGAGTTTTGAATTCAATACTTGGCCACAGAAGAGGGAGCAAAAACTAGGACAGTTGAGTTATCAAACTGAAATAGAAATCCAAAGGCACGGCACATGGAATTAGAACAATCTACCCTTGTGGACTAAAAGGGTTCGGTTCGAAATTCAAAAAAATATCACCTGAAACATACAACAGCCAAAACATTGCAAATGTAGAAACAAAGACGAAGACAAAAGTTTGAATAGTGTAAATAGTTACAATACATCATCTCAAACACATCAACAGAAATTTAACCAAATATAGCAATAACAATCAAAAATATGAATGCAGGATATTACTTAAAGAAGTAAGAGGATACAAATAAAAAAATTCAGAATTGATAAGTTTTCTATTTCACTGAAGCATTTGAGAGTGCTATCACCTCTTTCTTTTTCTATCTACCATTCATCTATGCATATTGCTGTCACATCTGGTCTGGTGCCTCTGCTATTTATTGTAAGCAACCCGCTATAATCTAAAATATGTTTTTGCTTTAAATAACACACAAAGAGTTGATAAACAGTAAAAAAACAGTCAATCCACACAAGTTGCATTTCCATTTTCTAGTTCCACCAGCCTACACATTTACAACTAGGACTCATCTTGCCACTTCCACAGAGTTGAATCATGCTCATTTCCCCCATTCTCCAACTGTAAGAAGAAAGTTCCATTCAGCTTTTTAGCCCCAAGAGTTACCGCTTTATGGGACAAATTTTTACATGTTTACTTCCTAGAATACTTCAGTTGTAAACTCAACATGACGAGTTAAATCTTCATTTTTCTTCATTTTTTCCCCCATAAGTTTCATTTCTTACCATATTTGGATCCATTTCTTACCATATTTGGATCCATTCTCCCAAAACTAAAGTTACCTCTGGTCCAGCTTAGAAAACAGAAATGATAATTTTGAAGAAAGAACTTTGAATTCATCAAAACTTCAAAACCTCACTTTAACTCTGATTGGGGCTATAAGTCCAATTCCAGCTAAAAGACCAATTTGGGCTGAAACTCTGATTTGAGCCAAAACTCCAATTCAGGCTGAAAATGGTGTTCTTCAAATCACAAAGTAAAGGCTGTGAAACTTTAATTGACTTCTTCAAATCACAAACTCTATGAAACTTCAAAACCCCATGTCATGAAAGCTCCCATTTTAACTCTGATTCCTTGCCATTTGGAAGAAAAAAAATTGGTTTCCTCAATTCACAAAGTTTTGAAGATATTGTAAACTGAATTTAAAACAAAATAAAAATTTTCAAATTCACAAAGTTTTTGTGTCACTTTAAATTTGATATAAATTAAAAACTTTGAAAATCACTAATTTTTTTCAGTTATTTTACAATTTTAATTTTTAACTGTTCCCTCCTTATCTAAGCTTAAATCCTGATGTTGGATGTTCAAGCATCAGATGAAGGGCAGATTTTTAATCCTGGGATCATCCTGATTCCAAAGAGGTATAATATGTTTATGTAGAGCAAGTGCAGTCCAAGTTAGAAGGATTTCAGATACACGGATAGAATTTGCCGTTTATTTATTTAGATGTTATTTTTATTGGCTACACATATTTGTGTTGTTATCCCTGTTTTTCTTTTTCTTAAACAATGAAATTAATAACCAAACTTAATTGGGAGGTCTTACTAAAGAAAAGTTGTACCTCTCACAGGAATCAAAAGTGTATCCCATTTTTTTTTCATCAGTTTTTAGTTCCAGCAGTTTTAACCTTCACATCTAAGACCCACCATGCCAGACACATTGTAGCAAACCAACCTCATTTCCTTTATATTCCATCAGTGAGATGTAAGTTCCACTCTAACAGCTTCTTCCCACTAACTGTTGCTTTGTGGAACTGACTCCCAAGAGGATGTTTCCCCAATCACTACAATCTGAACTTGTTTTGGTCTAGGGTCAACCATCATCTTCCCTACATATCTCCATAAACTGTGCCTCTTACTCTGTAACCTTCTACGTTGAGTGGTTCATAGGCCTTGTACAGGGTGAACATCATTGTAAAAATAAAAACAGCTGTTATTAATTTCACTGTGTAAGAAAATAAAAAGCAGAGATAGCAACTCAAACAAATGTACCTACAAAAAATAATGTTTATAGTAAGAATAAAATAGTATTGTAGTAATAAAATAAAATAAGAATAAAATAGTATTGTAGTAATAAAATATAACATAACAAAAGCAGGTGACCTAGTATTTCTGGAATATGACGTCTTTAAAGCTAACAGTCTATGTAATTAGAGCACTCAAGTGAAAGAGCATTAACCTTTAGCACCCAACATCATACTTATTATAAAACCCAGGTTGTGTGTATGTGTCTGTACGTTTATATATTGGATCGGATTTCCTACATTTTTCAACCGGTTTCAACAAAACTTCACAGGACTACGTAAAATTACCTTGCGGTGGTTCTGACAGTACCAAAAATTGGAAAAACACAATTGTTTTTGCACAAAATCAATTTGAAAACATGATAAAACACAATTCTGTCGCCAGAATGAAAAGGGGACAACTCATATCGAGTTATACTTATTATAAAAACCCAGGTTTTTTGTGTGTGTGTGTGTGTGTTCATTTATATATGGGATCAGATTTCCTACATTTTTCAACCGATTTCAACAAAACTTCACTTTTTTTTTTTTTTGGCAGGTAGTTTCTTATTGTCTTGCACACTTTTTTCTTTATTTTTACATTCAGAATGCTTTAAAAATTCCATTTACAAGACAATTGTTTATAATAAAATTCTATTCAATCGGTAGACTCATAACGATTGAAAACAATGTTTTTGTTTGAGTTTGGGTTTGACCAATTCGTAAAAAAAAAAAAAAATAATTAAGACATGCGTGTCTGTCAAACTTAAACAATAATCTTTGTCAATTTTATTTTTCAGTCTTTATGATGGTCGATACTTGATCTATTTCTTACTGTTACATACCCGGGCAACGCCGGGCAACGCCGGGCTCTACTGCTGGTTATTAATATTACTTTCCACTGCATTCTTTTTCAAGGCTTCTCAATTGCAGTAACCTTATTGTTAATTTCACTCAAACTTGTTTTCTGTTGCCATAAAACGATATGACAATCCAACTATGAAATTCAAACACACTATTGTTCAGAGATATGTCACCTTCAGTTGCAGGATAAACTTTTTGTACAGAAAATAAAGTCACATATAGAGTGATAAAGGTTAAGATCTATAAAATTGTTTATTTACAAGATTAATTTTATATAATCTAACAACTAAAGAGTAAATATTTTTCTTGTTAAAATTCTAAACATAGCTTTTGAAAAGAAACATTGTTGAAGGAGTATACAGTAATAACAATGTCAATAGAAAAACTACCCTTCTGACACTTATTTAAAAAAAATTTTTTTTCTTTTTCTTTCCAGGTACATAGGTTAAACATAGAGTGATAAAGGTTAATATTAAATAAAATTAAATATTCACTTATCTGTCTCTGAGTCTTGTAAAGATTATACCTACTTATTATTTTCCACTCTATGAAACTCTAAGTGGGGACAGATAAGTGATTATTTTATTTTATTTGTTGCTATATATATATATATATATATATATATATACAGAGAGAGAGAGAGAGAGAGGGTGAAAATAAATGAATGCAAGTTTTAAAATCATTACAATGAAAAGTAAGCAATTGTGTAAACAACAGCATGTATTTTGAAACAAATATGTATCAGTTTGGTTTGGTTTGTTTTATGGCATATCACCGTCAATGGGTTATTTAATGCCAACAAAATTGTTATTGCTGGTAATATGGTTTTCTTCAAAAATCTATTCCTAGGAATATTTTTCCTTGAAGAAATCTATAGCTATGGATTTCAAAGTTCATGTGTTCTTTTGTTGTTTTTTCAGTGTAAGGGGAGTAACTTTTTGTTTTTTGCTCATACGTATATAATAATTAATTTTTGTATAAAGTCCTTAAATGCTTCTAAAAAATAAATTATATACGTTTGAGCAAAAATCCAGAATGCTGAATAAGCAGTAAAAAATGAACAGTTGAAATGTTTTAAATTCACAGAAACACATATCCATACCCATAGACAACTCCATGAAGATGGTCTCAGATGAGATTGAAAGTACTTGGGAAAATAAAAACTATTCAAACCAAAATTTTGGTATTTTTCTTACTCAATTTTCTAAATCTACCAAAAAATTATTCCGTACACTTGAAAGGATCACAATGAAAACTAATTGATATGATATGTTTAAATTATTTAACCAAACCTGTTTGAATATATATATATATATATATATATATATTGAATAATATAGTCATATTGTGTTGACTTATTTTTATACTGATCCTTTACAGTTCTCTAATCAGTTTCTTGATGTTAAGATAACATTCATCAAAGAAGGCACCATAGTTTTTTGAGCCCAAGTTTTTTCTAACCCAAGTCTTGGAAAAGATCAAAAGTACTTTGGTTAGAAAAAACTACAACACCTTCTTTGATGAATTTCACCTTAACATCAAGAAAGTGATTAGAGAGGTTCAGTATAAGACACAATATGTCTATATTATTCAATGAAACATCTTTGAATGAAGATATGCTGCCTAAACATACATACATACATACATACATACATATATAGATAGATAGATAGATAGATAGATAGATAGATAGATAGATAGATAGATAGATTATGCAACAGAATACTAGCTTTATGGATTAAATCTTGCAAATTATAAATACTCGTCCTGATTTATATATTATATGCACTTAATTTATTAAAAAAAAAATGTATAATCCAGAATGAAAAAGTCAAAAAGCTATTGTGTAAGGATTTAAGAGAGATAACTCAATTTACTAAAACTGATCCAAATGGGTTAGTTTGAATTATAAACAGATTTGAACATTTAAGAAAAAAGTAATGCAATAAAATCAAACATATTTATTTTAAAAATACAGGAAAATAGACGAGGAGCAAAAAATACATTCACCAAGAATAGCAATTCAAAAAGAAAATATATATTCAGAAAGGGGGAGAAAAAATATTCATGCACCATGACTAAAAAGGGGAAAATGAGAATATAAAATACACGCGTTAATAATATATAAACATACACTATAGTTCAAAAGTTTGAGGCCATTCCTGGTAATTTTTAAATTGGCCCAAAAAGTAGTTATTTTGTACTTTAAATAAGAGAAAATTATTATACATTGTTAAAAAAAAGTGAGATATGACTTTTTTTATTAGAAATTTTATTATGACAAAAAGAAAAAAAGCATTTTATGATTAAATTTTGCTCTTGTCAAAATATCCTCCTTTAGCCTTGATTTCTGCAGCAGAAATTTTTAGCATTCATTGCAAAATGTTTCTTAAAGTATAAGTTTGATAATTGATTCCATTCTTTTTTCAATGATTCTATGAGTTCGTTTTCATTTTTTTCACTCTTATGTTAAGCTCATCCCATGATAATTGTTGGGGTTGCTTCAAAATTTTGTAGTATACGTATACTTATATTACAAGCTAATCACATTGATAACCAACAACCATTATTTTTATTTACAGAAAAAAGGTTTAGATGTGATGAATGAAAATGGTCTCAAGGACTTTCAGATGTAAATTGGAATGTGATTGTCTCAATGCACAAAACATATCCGTTCATTAGGCCAATGTGTCATTGTTAATTATTAATAAGTTGTTTAGAGATTGCAGACCCAGATATACTGGAACAATTACTTGAATTTTGAAACTTGTCTTTTGGAGTACATGCTGGAATATGCTGAGAAATTCTCTTCTCTAACCATTGGGTTGTCTTACTTATGGAGTCAATTTTAGACTGATACTTAAATTGATAAATTAAAGAACTAATTAGAGAGATATGTAGGCCATCTTTTTAGATGGATTTTAACATTGGTTTAAAAGAAAAAATGATATGTTGACTAGCAGTAAAATAGTAATTACAAATGCATTTAGGGATTTGTTTAACCAACTTCATAGTCACCTCACCAATCCATGGTAGCCTTAAGTAAACAGGATATTTATCAAGATCAAACACTATAGGTTTTGGGAACTATGCAATCTTAGCACAAATATTAGATTGCATCACTTCTAAAGAATAGTTGACATCTTACAGCATTAACATGTTGAAACGCTGGCTCTTGTACGATCACTGAATTTAAGCAACGTTGAGCCTGGTCAGTAGCTAGGAAGGTGACCACTTGTGAATAACAGGTGCTTTAAGCTCAGATGTGCAGGTGGAGTAATGGTTTGGAATTGGAAATCAGAGAGCTGAGTTCCAATTCCTGTCAGGTTCATTATATTCAGTTATAGGCAATTACCTTTGGGTTTGGTAAGAATCCCTCTTTTCTCATCCCCCCTAGTTATGGGTTAATTAGTAAGACATGTATCAATAAATCATTATCATCACCCCAAAATATGTTACAATCTAAAAATATTTTCTGGCTTTAAATAAACTGCAAAAGGTTGATAAACTGTAAAACACAAATCAATCAAATGAAAGAATAGTCCTTATCATATAGAACATTCTTAATAAATTCTAATTGAGAAGTGACTTTAGTCTTGGAATATATCAATAGGGCATGAAGGACTAAAGTCTTAATAAAATTCATCTTGTGTTGTTTAAAAAAAAAATGAGTCCCAGTGTGTATATAATCAAGTAAAAGAAGGTTTTGATATATATATATATTTAAAAAAATATAGAATCTGATTTTTGTACAAAATATCTGGAAAGGACAAATCAAGTGAAATGAAAAACTGAATGCAACAGATAGGATATATATATATATATATATATATATAGAACACTTCTGTCATTTCAACATATGAGGGTCAAGCAGCTCAGTTCTTAGAACCAACAGCCAGATTACTGATACATATCATTTGATTATAGTGGTGAAGGCTTGTACAGAACCTACCACACCTTTTGGAAGAGCTAAATACAGAGAACAGGTGCACAGTATGCCACAAGGTCCCCAAACAACCCTCTGCAGGTTTTGAATTTAGAGCTGTCCCTCTCCTAGACCAGTTGCTACCCAAGGCTATTTAACCCAAGCTGTCTTACTATTTACCCATAGATGGGGTGAGGAAGAGATGGATTCATACGTTTTCCAAGAGTATTAGCAGGTCAGTGAATGTAATGAATTTGAACTCAGCTATCCAATTCCTCAACCCAAGCCACAATCCATTACTGCACTGTGCTTCCTATATATTGGGTTGGTGCATAATTATCAGGCGTTTTTTAAACAATATTTATTATGAAAAAAGAAACATAACAATTCAGCAATAACATTTTTAAATAATTATTCCAGAGATTATCAACATGCATTTTTATAACCTGAAAATAAAATAATTTTTATTAAAAAAAAGTTAACAAAACAGCAATTTTTATTAACAAATAACTTGCAAAAACGCCTAATTATATACCAACCCATATATATATATATATATATATATATATATATATATATATATTATTTCCTCACAGAAGTACTATTAATACATGTAGGATAATTAAAAATAATAAAAATAAAAGTTATAGCTGAATGAAGTTGTATTTTTTTATGTTTTTTTTATTTGCACATTGGACTGTTTCCTTCAGTAACACTGTTTGGAGAACACAATTTCTTTTGTCTTGTATGTGCATGTGTGTACATGCATATGTATATAGATACATGATTACACAATGCATATATACATACATATATATTAAAGACATTTTTATGTTTGACATTCTTTTTATAGATACAAGTATTTTAGTAAATGCTCTGTTTATAATAAACAGTATTAAATAACATTAACCGGCCTGAATGTCCAAGAAATCGTCATAGAAAATATTCGTCCATTGACAGGATTTGAACCTGCATCCTATACGGAACTGTCATTTAGCTTGACGTGCCTAACCTCTCGGCCACAAAGGATCGTTCGGTTGGCAAGGTCGAATTTACTGCTTATAAACTTCAATCTTCCATGAATGTTAAACATAAAAATGTCTTTAATAAATTGTCAGACTTTGTCCATTTCTTAATGTATGACGTCATTTGTTTACATTTGATACGCCATGAGCAGTTATGAATGTACGAGATTATATATATATATATATATATATTTAAACAATGACTTGATATTACAAATAATGACTTGATATTAAAATGTTATTATAGCCTACACTGATGTAAGCATCTTGATATTAAAAAAAGGGGGAAAACAGGAACTTTTTGGCTAACCCTTTGTCAGAGATGAATCATTAATGAAAACAATTACTTTTTCTTTTTTCTCAACAAGAACATTTAAGAACATCTAAATGGAACATCAAACTGGCACATGATTGAAATATAAAATCATCTTCAATCAAATTTTGAAAATAAATAATAATAAATAAAAAATAATAATTTGTAAAATTAAAAACAAATAAAATTGATAAACAAACTTGAAGAAGTACCAGAAAGGAATCAAAAGAAAAAAAGAATGATTAGCATTTTCTCAAAATAAGAAGAGAACAAACAAAATTCTCCTTCTGCCTGCAAAGAATAAGTCTCCTGAGTTTGATGGTAACTGCTTCCACAATCTTGAACAAATGTCAAGACTGTACCCTATGCAAAATGTTAAAGCAATTTTCCTGATATTCATCAGAACATATTATCAACCAAGTATAAACAGAGCATTTACTTAAATATTTGTATCTATAAAAAGAATGTATAAATATAAAAAACATCTTAAAATTATTGTCGGACTTTGTCCATTTCATAATGTGTGACGTCACTTGTTTACATTTGGATACGCCATGTGCAGATATGAATGTATGTGAAAGAATCATGGAAGATTGTAGTTTAAAGACAGTAAAATCAACCTGGCTAACTGAACACTGTGGCCAAATCGGTTAAAGGCACGTCAGGCTATATGACGGTTCTGTATAGGATACAGGTTCAATTCCTGTCGGAGGATGAATATTTTCTATGAAAATTTCTGACATTCAGGCCAGTAAATGTTGTTTAATACTGTTTATTATAACCAGAGCATTTACTTAATTATTTGTATCTATAAAAAGAATGTATAAACATAAAAATGTCTTAAAATATATATATGTAAATGAATTACAGATAGATGAAAATCACTCCCCCAACAAAAATAGTCATATCGCTCTTCCAACGGGCTTATCAACTCCTTGTGTTGATAAGCCCATTGGAAGGGTGAAATGGCTATTCTTTTGGGGGAGTGATTTTCATCTACCTGTAATTCATATATGCTCTGTAATAAATACATTGAGCTCTTTTCTGTGAATCAGTTTTAATATTTTATATTACTAGGATTCACTTGGATTACACATACATATTTTATATATATATATATATATATATATATATATATATATATATATTTCATAAAACAAGATTGACAAAGGTACTTTTTGTTTATTTTTTTATTAAGAAAATTTGGAAATGGTATTTTGAAATTAATAATATATCTACTTTTAGCAACTTTTATACCATCTACAATAGCACTTACATTCATTATAGGAGTATAACAAAAAATAATCCTTGAAAAAAGGCTAACAGTTTGGCCAAAAAACACATGGAACCAAGAAGCATTTGAAGAATTTTTATATTCACTTAGTCCACAAATGAAGATACTTGTATGAATATAAGAATAACATAAAAAAACTAAACAAAGATACCTTATCAGTCTTGTTCA